CTTCTGATTTCAAAAAAACAGAAATATCATCTGCATAAGCACAAACTTTGACTCTCTCGGAAACACCTTCTACTTTCACTTCTAGGCCTTGAAAATTATGGTTTCCTTTTATTTTCCTTAATAGAGGGTCAATGCTAAAAACATAAAGCAAAGGACTTATAGGACAACCCTGACGAACTCCAGATTCAACCTGAAAAGGTCTCCCAAACTACCATTAATTAAAGGGAAACATATTGCTTCTTTATATAATATCTTCAACCATTTAATAAAAGTATTAGGAATGCCATATCTCCGTAAAGTCTCAAATAAAAATTCATGATGTACTCGGTCAAATGCTTTGGACTGGTCTAGTCCTACCAAATAAATACCTTCTCTCTGCTGCTTAGCATATTCCACCACCTCTCTTACTAGCAACATGTATCCTGTATGCTACGATTCTTAACTGCACACGACTGACACGGACTTACCAAAATTTCAGCCACCGCACTAAGCCTCATAAACATGACTTTTGCAAGAATTTTGTAATCAGTATTCAATAATGATAACGGACGCCAGTTCTTTAGTTCATTCAAATTACCACTTTTAGATAAAAGTACCAAGACTGAGGCATACTGTGAGGACGGCAACTGTCCCAGAGTTAGCACTTCATTATATAGCACTACAAGGTCCGTTACCAAAAGATCTAAAAACACTTTATAAAACTCTGCAGTTATCCCATCCAATCCTGGACTTTTCTTCCCAACTAATGATTGAATGCTATTTCTAACTTCTTCCTCTGTTATAGGCTTAACCATGGTCTCAGCATCCACTGCATTTAATACTGGATTATCAACATCTTGCAAATATTTTACAATATTTTCATTTGCAATAGGCTGTCTTGCAAACAATTGCTTAAAATATTTTGTGACAATATTTATAATGTCCTTACTTTCTGTTTGTGTTTCACCATCTTGATCTACCAGTCCTGCTATGGCTTTCTTACATACTCTTTCCTTACACGCTTGAAAAGGATCTGGGGCTGTGAAACCCCAACTATCAAATTCATTTTCAGCTTTTAGAGAGATCATACGGTCATATTGAAGTTTTTTCATTTTATCCTTAACTTGATTAATGCTATTTGAATTCACAGTCTCACCATTATTGACCAAGGAATATAATCTACTAAGTCTAAGTCTTAGAGCAAGATATTGCATATATTGACGATTTCCTTCTTTTCTAGCTTTTGATTTAAAAAAACTTTTAATATCTTTTTTTGTTTGTTCCCACCAACTCGACATCGCGTCGTATAAGCACTGCGTGGTTTTTTGATCTTCATAAAAAGTAATGAATTCTTGCTTAACTTTATCATTATCAAGTATTCTTGAGTTTAGTTTCCAGATACCTTTCCCATATATTATTCCTTCCTTTACCTTTAAGGACAGACTAATCATATCATGATCTGAAAACTCTACCAAGACTAAATTATATCTAAAGGATGAAGTTTGATTTTTTACATAAAGTCTATCTATACGACTTGCCCACCTCCCTTTATGATATGTAAATCCTCGCTGTGTAGGATAATTATATTTAAAAGTATCAATCAGACCAGCTTGACTGATCAGAGTTTTTAGAAAATTTTCATCATATTTTAAATTTTTATAATTACTATTTCGATCTTCATTATTTACCACACCGTTAAAATCACCTCCCATGATTAACACTTTGGATGTGAAACAATATGGTTTTACACTTAAAAACACTTTTTTCCTACCTGCTATTATCTGAGGAGCATATATATTAATTATTCGATATCTCACATCATTAAGCGTAAAATCTAACAAAAGGCATCTACCTGCAACAATTTCCGCTATCCGATCAATTTGAAAATCACAGTTCTTAAACAAAATACCCACACCATCATAACTTTCCAGTCCAAATGACCAATAAGATGGGCCCATTGTCCACTCTCTTTTAGCACAAAAAACCTGGCTATTATTTCTTAATCTTGTCTCCTGTAATAAACACACATCAAATGATTGTTCTTTCAGAACAGTATAGAGTAAGTCTCTTCTCTATTTTGATCTCAAACTGTTGACATTAAGCGAGCATATATGTAAAGTCATAAAAACCAAGGAGACTCAGCGCTCCTTCTTTACTGCTCCTATATTGTCACCTTGAGATCCCTATCGTTTTATTGAAACAGAGGCAGTTGCTTCTTCTTCACAGAACAACTGCAATTCCTCTGTGTATCGCCTTTTCCAGAGAGATCCTTCACTCTGTTTAAACTCCATGGCATCTTCACTAGGTTCATCCAGGATAGCATAGCGACCAGCAGTTATCTCAAATGATGAAAGCATCTGAGGAGGTTTTTGTGACTCACAAGAACCTGAATATTTTCATTTCTTCTTGTGCTTTCCTTGCACCAACTGAAATTTGTCACTGTTTTTTTCTAATACTGGACCCTTTTCAACATTTAATGGAGATTGTATTTCCTTGGCGCCTTTCCTTAAGATGTTTTCTGGCTCAGTAATGTCATCTTTCTGTGGCTCATTTGTATCTTGTTTCTCAGTTGTATTGGACTCTTCCATTGCTTCAGTAAGTATGCTTTCCAAATCTAGCACACAGTCGTTTATCTTATTATGGTGTGCTTCTGGGCACTCTCTAAAGGTATGACCTTGTACAGAACATAAGTTGCATATTACGTCCTGCTTGCATTCTGATCTCATATGGCCCAGACAGTTACATTGAGAGCACTTTATTTTATCACAGCAATAGGCCAAATGCCTTATTGACCCACATTTATAACAGCTTCTAGGCTGTCCTGGATAATAGCAAATGCCTCTGTCCGTACCAATAAAAAAACTGTGTGGTAAATGATGAGTAACCCCTGTCTGCCACAGTTTAACTTGCAGTTTCCATCCACCATTCCATAGCCCAATCTCATCATAAATCTTTTGTGGGTCACTCACAACTGTACAGTGTCTCTTTATCCAGTACATTATGTCATTTAAAGCCACTACTTCTGTCTGGAACTGGAGATTGATGGACACTGTAGCCTGTTTTGTGAGTGGGATAGCTTTTATATTTTTCCAGATACCATCTGATTTTGTCCTATGGAAAATCACCCAAAACATATCCAGGTTCTGCATTAGTTTAAAACTAATGTCAAATTGTCTTGATCCAGGAAAGTGAATAAATGCAAATGAATTCCATTAAGAGTTTGCGACCAATGAATATTCTGTCTGGAATGTCAGGTTCTGGTCCTGTGAACAACAGATGCACTGCATTCTTCCGCTTAGATACATCTCCCCTTGATCTTGCAACGTGTGAAAACAAATTCCCGCTTGCTGCAGGTTGTTGTACATTTACCTGTGTGCTGCTCTGTTTGCTGGTTCCTGTTCCCATTTTAGTACCTGAATCCGGTCCATGTTTTTGTCCTACCGCATTGTTAGAGCCAGTTCCAGATTGCAGATGTCTATCTGGTGATTGCTCCAGATTTTGCTTTGCTGTGGAATCCCTGCTTTGTGTTGAATCTCTTGTAATGCTTACACCAAGAGGTTTTTGCAAATCACTTTCATTCTCAATAAGTCTTTCCACAACACGCTTTATGCTCCTAGATCTCAGCTTATGGACAGTTATTTCATTTAACCATTCAGGTATGGCAATGCTGAGGGCTGCTGGTTTATCGCACCCAGGTGAACTCTCAGGTTTACATTCAGCAGCAGCCTCTCCTGTTTGAGCAGGTAAAGTCACTGGGTACATTTTATCACTTAATTTCTTTATCATTACCCCTACTTGCTTGTCTTTTAGCGGTTGTGTGGGTACCTTCTTAATCCTTAATGGGTTTAACTTTTGCATTTTATAACATTTTCTTTCCTCACCTTTTATTGCACTTTTCAGTTTTTCAATGCTTTGCTCTTTTACATCCATTGCCGTTTGTAGGGAGTCGATCTCCACCTGGATCTGATCAATCTGCTGCAGAAAACCTGTTTTTTTCAGATTCCTGGGTTACTTCATCCACTTTTTTTTTTACCAAATCTTGCTTCTGCTTGTACAAATCATCATACATTGCACATAAAGTCTGATAATTAGCAGAAGCATCTCCCAGTCTTATGTCCAAAACCATCAAAGCTTTACTAATTAAACTTTCCTTAAAATGTCTGCTTTCATTTGTTTGGGCTTCTTGGCCTTCCAACACCTCCAGGCCTGGGACTAGAGCAGAACTAGTATCCAGAACACCCCCACTTGGGTCTGAGGCCATCCTCAATCCCCCTACAGGAGCTCCAACACATAGGAGTTATAGGGAGAGGTTATATGGAGTAATAGGTGGAGATATATGGAATAATAGTAGGAGTTATAGAGAGAGCTTATATGGAGTAATAGGAGGAGTTATAGAGAGAGGTTATATAGGAGTAATAGGAGGAGTTATAGTGAGAGTTTATATGAAGTAATAGGTGGAGATATAGAGAGAGGTTATATGGAGTAATAGGAGGAGTTATAGGGAGAGGTTATATGGAGTAATAGGAGAAGTTATAGAGAGAGGTTATATGGGGTAATAGGAGGAGATATAGAGCGAGGTTATATGGAGTAATAGGAGGAGATATAGGGAGAGGTTATATGGAGTAATAGGAGAAGTTATAGGGAGAGGTTATATGGAGTAATAGGAGGAGATATAGGGAGAGGTTATATGGAGTAATAGGAGGAGATATAGGGAGAGGTTATATGGAGTTACAGGAGGAGTTATAGAGAGAGGTTTTATGAAGTAATAGGAACTGGTATGGAGCGAGGGTTTATATGGAGTAAGAGGATGAAGAATAGAGGATATAGCGAGTTTAAAATGAGTAATTGCAGGAGTTATATAGAGATATTATACAAGAAATAGGATAAATTATAGGGAGAGGTTATAGGGAGTAATAGGAGGAGTTATAGAGAGGAGTTATATGGAGTAATAGGAGGAGTTATAGAGAGAGGTTATATGGAGTAATAGGAGGAGTTATAGGGAGAGGAAGGAGTAATAGGAGGAGTTATAGGGAGAGGTTATATGGAGTAATAGGAGGAGTTATAGGCAGAGGTTATATGGAGTAATAGGAGGAGTTATAGAGAGAGGTTATATGGAGTAATAGTAGGACTTTTTTTTATTAAATTTTCTTACAACAAATTACAAAACAGTGTTCAATGTATCAAAAACATATACAAAAATACAATTAAAAACAAAATGTCATGTCTATATTTTCCCAACAATCTGTAGTTTGTTCTTTTACATATACATCTTTTATGTCTTTAATTATCCGATTAATCACAGAGTCCGTAGTTAAAATAATTTGTTTTGAAGATTTTAAACACCTCGCTTGCCATAAATGATATATTACAATACAATTAATTACATATAAAGTGCATTTGTTAATCTTATCTGCCCAATTGAAATTTCCATATACTAATTCAGCGTAGGACTGTCCTTTAAAATTTGGTATTTTAAGAAGTATGGACATTTCTGACCATATTGCTAAACTAAAGGGACAGTCACACAAAAAATGAGACATTGTTTCTAACATCCCTGAACATTCTTCCCTTGGACAATTTCGTTCCTCAAGTTTTTTAAATTTCAAATTAGAGCGAACGTATAATTTTCCTTGAAAACTAAGCCAAATAACATCTCTCAATTTAACTGGTATTCTCGTGCTAGTAACATTCTGAATGGTTTTTTTCATTAAGGTATTAGGGCAGTCTTTTAAAACCAGCTGGGCACTATAGTACTTATTTAACAGAACATGATATAATTGTTTTCTATCTAGCCCAGTGATATCTTCATATGAAATTTGCCATCTCAGCAACAACTTTATACATTGCTGAGCATATAGAGAGCAATGTTTAACCTTACCAGACAATCTTTTGATCTTTACACCTCTTGTCCAAACTCCAACAAAGTGATTAATTTGGTTTTTATATAAGACTCCCCATAAATCTGTTCTACCAGATTTCAAAAAACTTAAATTCTTGGTTATAAACAAGAGATTGTAAAAAAGTTCTGGACACAACATGCCTAATCCTCCATCTTTCCTATGGAGATATGAAATGTTACGTTTAACAATATTTAAACGATTACCCCATATTAGCTGGAACAACAAACCGGTTATCTTAACCACTAATTTATCTGGTAATGGAAAGACAAAACTAGTATAAATAAAAATGGGAAATAAAAATCATTTGATAGCTTGAATTTTCTTTTGGTAAGACCATTTCCAATTTTTCCATTTGTGTATTTTATCTGAGAATATTTTAAATTTATCATCCCAATTTCTCTGGGCAATGTCTTCAACACATCCATATGTAATACCCAACACTTTGATTGTTTTATCCTTTCTTTTAAAAGGGATTTGAAAAGCTTCTGCATTATCCCCCAGCCACAATGCTTCACTCTTCTCCATATTAACCATAGAGTTGGAAATTTGAGAATAACTTTTAAGTTCCCTTTGTAACAATTGGTTATCTGCTTCTGATTTCAAAAAAACAGAAATATCATCTGCATAAGCACAAACTTTGATTCTCTCGGAAACACCTTCTACTTTCACTTCTAGGCCTTGAAAATTATGGTTTCCTTTTATTTTCCTTAATAGAGGGTCAATGCTAAAAACATAAAGCAAAGGACTTATAGGACAACCCTGACGAACTCCAGATTCAACCTGAAAAGGGTCTCCCAAACTACCATTAATTAAAGGGAAACATATTGCTTCTTTATATAATATCTTCAACCATTTAATAAAAGTATTAGGAATGCCATATCTCCGTAAAGTCTCAAATAAAAATTCATGATGTACTCGGTCAAATGCTTTGGACTGGTCTAGTCCTACCAAATAAATACCTTCTCTCTGCTGCTTAGCATATTCCACCACCTCTCTTACTAGCAACAGTGTATCCTGTATGCTACGATTCTTAACTGCACACGACTGACACGGACTTACCAAAATTTCAGCCACCGCACTAAGCCTCATAAACATGACTTTTGCAAGAATTTTGTAATCAGTATTCAATAATGATAACGGACGCCAGTTCTTTAGTTCATTCAAATTACCACTTTTAGATAAAAGTACCAAGACTGAGGCATACTGTGAGGACGGCAACTGTCCCAGAGTTAGCACTTCATTATATAGCACTACAAGGTCCGTTACCAAAAGATCTAAAAACACTTTATAAAACTCTGCAGTTATCCCATCCAATCCTGGACTTTTCTTCCCAACTAATGATTGAATGCTATTTCTAACTTCTTCCTCTGTTATAGGCTTAACCATGGTCTCAGCATCCACTGCATTTAATACCGGATTATCAACATCTTGCAAATATTTTACAATATTTTCATTTGCAATAGGCTGTCTTGCAAACAATTGCTTAAAATATTTTGTGACAATATTTATAATATCCTTACTTTCTGTTTGTGTTTCACCATCTTGATCTACCAGTCCTGCTATGGCTTTCTTGCATACTCTTTCCTTACACGCTTGAAAAGGATCTGGGGCTGTGAAACCCCAACTATCAAATTCATTTTCAGCTTTTAGAGAGATCATACGGTCATATTGAAGTTTTTTCATTTTATCCTTAACTTGATTAATGCTATTTGAATTCACAGTCTCACCATTATTGACCAAGGAATATAATCTACTAAGTCTAAGTCTTAGAGCAAGATATTGCATATATTGACGATTTCCTTCTTTTCTAGCTTTTGATTTAAAAAAACTTTTAATATCTTTTTTTGTTTGTTCCCACCAACTCGACATCGTGTCGTATAAGCACTGCGTGGTTTTTCGATCTTCATAAAAAGTAATGAATTCTTGCTTAACTTTATCATTATCAAGTATTCTTGAGTTTAGTTTCCAGATACCTTTCCCATATATTATTCCTTCCTTTACCTTTAAGGACAGACTAATCATATCATGATCTGAAAACTCTACCAAGACTAAATTATATCTAAAAGATGAAGTTTGGTTTTTTACATAAAGTCTATCTATACGACTTGCCCACCTCCCTTTATGATATGTAAATCCTCGCTGTGTAGGATAATTATATTTAAAAGTATCAATCAGACCAGCTTGACTGATCAGAGTTTTTAGAAATTTTTCATCATATTTTAAATTTTTATAATTACTATTTCGATCTTCATTATTTACCACACCGTTAAAATCACCTCCCATAATTAACACTTTGGATGTGAAACAATATGGTTTTACACTAAAAAACACTTTTTTCCTACCTGCTATTATCTGAGGAGCATATATATTAATTATTCGATATCTCGCATCATTAAGCGTAAAATCTAACAAAAGGCATCTACCTGCAACAATTTCCACTATCCGATCAATTTGAAAATTACAGTTCTTAAACAAAATACCCACACCATCATAACTTTCCAGTCCAAATGACCAATAAGATGGGCCCATTGTCCACTCTCTTTTAGCACAAAAAACCTGGCTATTATTTCTTAATCTTGTCTCCTGTAATAAACAGACATCAAATGATTGTTCTTTCAGAACAGTATAGAGTAAGTCTCTTCTCTCTTTTGATCTCAAACTGTTGACATTAAGCGAGCATATATGTAAAGTCATGAAAACCAAGGAGACTCAGCGCTTCTTCTTTACTGCTCCTATATTGTCACCTTGAGATCCCCATCGTTTTATTGAAACATAGGCAGTTGCTTCTTCTTCACAGAAAAACTGCAATTCCTCTGTGGATCACCTTTTCCAGAGAGATCCTTCACTCTGTTTAAACTCCATGGCATCTTCACTAGGTTCATCCAGGATAGCATAGCGACCAGCAGTTATCTCAAATGACGAAAGCATCTGAGGAGGTTTTTGTGATTCACGAGTACCTGAATATTTTCATTTCTTCTTGTGCTTTCCTTGCACCAACTGAAATTCTTCACTGTTTTTTTCTAATATTGGACCCTTTTCAACATTTAATGGAGATTGTATTTCCTTGGCGTCTTTCCTTAAGATGTTTTCTGGCTCAGTAATGTCATCTTTCTGTGGCTCATTTGTATCTTGTTTCTCAGTTGTATTGTACTCTTCCATTGCTTCAGTAAGTATGCTTTCCAAATCTAGCACACAGTCGTTTATCTTATTATGGTGTGCTTCTGGGCACTCTCTAAAGGTATGACCTTGTACAGAACATAAGTTGCATATTACGTCCTGCTTGCATTCTGATCTCATATGGCCCAGACAGTTACATTGAGAGCACTTTATTTTATCACAGCAATAGGCCAAATGCCTTATTGACCCACATTTATAACAGCTTCTAGGCTGTCCTGGATAATAGCAAATGCCTCTGTCCGTACCAATAAAAAAACTGTGTGGTAAATGATGAGTAACGCCCCCTGTCTGCCACAGTTTAACTTGCAGTTTCCATCCACCATTCCATAGCCCAATCTCATCATAAATCTTTTGTGGGTCACTCACCACTGTACAGTGTCTCTTTATCCAGTACATTATGTCATTTAAAGCCACTACTTCTGTCTGGAACTGGAGATTGATGGACACTGTAGCCTGTTTTGTGAGTGGGATAGCTTTTATATTTTTCCAGATACCATCTGATTTTGTCCTATGGAAAATCACCCAAAACATATCCAGGTTCTGCATCAGTTTATGCAGTTAATGTCAAATTGTCTTGATCCAGGAAAGTGAATAAATGCAAATATTTCACTTGCAGAAAAACCCATGAATTCCATTAAGAGTTTGTGACCAATTAATATTCTGTCTGGAATGTCAGGTTCTGGTCCTGTGAACAACAGACGCACTGCATTCTTCCGCTTAGATACATCTCCCCTTGATCTTGCTACATTTGAAAACAAATTCCCGCTTGCTGCAGGTTGTTGTACATTTACCTGTGAGCTGTTCTGTATGATGGTTCCTATTCCCATTTTAGTACCTGAATCCGGTCCATGTTTTTGTCCTACCGCATTGCTAGAGCCAGTTCCAGATTGCAGATGTCTATCTGGTGATTCCTCCAGATTTTGCTTTGCTGTGGAATCCCTGCTTTGTGTTGAATCTCTTGCAATGCTTACGCCAAGAGGTTTTTGCAAATCACTTTCTTTCTCAATAAGTCTTTCCACAACACGCTTCATGCTCCTAGATCTCAGCTTATGGACAGTTATTTCATTTAAGCATTCAGGTATAGCAATGCTGAGGGCTGCTGGTTTATCGCACCCAGGTGAACTCTCAGGTTAACATTCAGCAGCAGCCTCTCCTGTTTGAGCAGGTAAAGTCACTTTGCACATTTTATCACTTAATTTCTATATCATTACCCCTACTTGCTTGTCTTTTAGCAGTTGTGTTGGTACCTTCTTAATCCTTAATGGGTTTAACTTTTGCATTTTATAACATTTTCTTTCCTCACCTTTTATTGCACTTTTCAGTTTTTCAATGCTTTGCTCTTTTACATCCATTGCCGTTTGTAGGGAGTCGATCTCCACCTGGATCTGATCAATCTGCTGCAGAAAACCTTTTTTTTTCAGATTCTTGGGTCACTTCATCCACTTTCTTCACCAAATCTTGCTTCTGCTTGTACAAATCATAATACATTGCACATAAAGTCTGATAATTAGCAGAAGCATCTCCCAGTCTTTTGTCCAAAACCGTCAAAGCTTTACTAATTAAACTTTCCTTAAAATGTCTGCTTTCATTTGTTTGGGCTTCTTGGCCTTCCAACACCTCCAGGCCTGGGACTAGAGCAGAACTTGTATCCAGAACACCAACACTCCCCCCTGGGTGTGAGGCCATCCTCAGTCCCCCTACAGGAGCTCCAACATATAGGAGTTATAGGGAGAGGTTATATTGAGTAATAGGAGAAGTTATAGGGAGAGGTTATATGGAGTAATAGGAGAAGTTATAGAGAGAGGTTATATGGCGTAATAGGAGGAGTTATAGAGAGGTTATAGGGAGTAATAGGAGTTATAGAGAGAGGTTATATGGAGTAATAGGAGGAGTTATAGAGAGGTTATATGGAGTAATAAGAACAGGTAGAGAGAGAAAGGGTTTATATGGAGTAAAGAATAGAGAATATAGAGAGTTTAAAATGAGGTATAGGGAGAGATTATATTGTGTAATAGGTGGAGTTATAGAGAGAGGTTATATGGAGTAATAGGTGGAGTTATAGAGAGAGGTTATATGGAGTAATAGGAGGAGTTATAGAGAGGTTATATGGAGTAATAAGAACAGGTAGAGAGAGAAAGGGTTTATATGGAGTAAAGAATAGAGAATATAGAGAGTTTAAAATGAGGTATAGGGAGAGATTATATTGTGTAATAGGTGGAGTTATAGGGAGAGGTTATATGGAGTAATAGGAGGAGTTATAGGGAGAGGTTATACGGAGTAATAGGAGGAGTTATAGGGAGAGGTTATATGGAGTAATAGGAGGAGATATAGGGAGAGGTTATATGGAGTAATAGGAGGAGATATAGGGAGAGGTTATATGGAGTAATAGGAGGAGATATAGGGAGAGGTTATATGGGGTAATAGGAGGAGATATAGGTAGAGGTTATATGGAGTAATAGGAGGAGATATAGGGAGAGGTTATATGGAGTAATAGGAGGAGTTATAGGGAGAGGTTATATGGAGTTATAGGAGGAGTTATAGAGAGAGGTTGTATGAAGTAATAGGAACTGGTAAAGAGCGAGGGTTTATATGGAGTAAGAGGATGAAGAATAGAGGATATAGAGAGTTTAAAATGAGTAATTGCAGGAGTTAGAGATATTATAAAAGAAATAGGATAATTTATAAGGAGAGGTTATAGGGAGTAATAGGAGGAGTTATAGAGAGGAGTTATATGGGGTAATAGGAGGAGATATAGGGAGAGGTTATAATGAGTAATAGGAGGTGTTATAGGGAGAGGCTATATGGAGTAATAGGAGGTGTTATAGGGAGAGGCTATATGGAGTAATAGAAGTTATAGGGAGAGGTTATATGGGGTAATAGGAGGTGTTATAGGGAGAGGTTATATGGAGTAATAGGAGGAGTTATAGAGAGGGGTTAAATGGGGTAATAGGAGGAGTTATAGGGAGAGGTTATATGGCGTATTAGGAGGAGTTATAGAGAGGTTATAGGGAGTAATAGGAGGAGTTATAGAGAGGTTATATGGAGTAATAGGAGGAGTTATAGAGAGGTAATAGGAACTGGTATAGAGCGAGGGTTTATATGGAGTAAGAGGATGAAGAATAGAGGATATAGAGAGTTTAAAATGAGTAATTGCAGGAGTTATATAGAGATATTATAAAAGAAATAGGATAAATTATAGGGAGAGGTTATATGGAGTAATAGGAGGAGTTATAGAGAGAGGTTACATGGAGTAATAGGAGGAGTTATAGGGAGAGGCTATATGGAGTAATAGGAGGAGTTATAGAGAGAGGTTTTATAGAGTAATAGGAGGAGTTATAGGGAGAGGTTATATGGAGTAATAGGAGGAGTTATAGGGAGAGGTTGTATGGGGCAATAGGGGGCTTTGAAGATATTATATGAAGTAATAGGAGAAGTTGCCGAGAAGTTTTATGACGTACAAGGAGGAGTTATTGCAAGATTTTATGAGGAGTAATAAGAGGAGTTATAGAAGAGAGTATAAAGAAGATATTATAAGGAAGATGTTATATTGGGTGATTACGGTTAAATAATATTTGACATCTAAATCTTTTATTTGGTATATGTGAGCCCTGACCTTATAATTTCACAGGAAACTGTTATAAGCAACAGCAGTTAAAGGGTGTGACTGCAGAAAATCGTTTGGAAAGTGCCTGTAATTCAGCTGTGGATTTTGGTAAGTGCCAAGAAAAAGTCATTCATTCTATTGTGTGTGTGTGTGTGTGTGTATGTTAAGTATACAAAACATTGATGCCTCGTTCTGCCTCAGAGTAGCATGCGCTCATAAGAACATGAATTCTGCATTGTGTCAGCTGTGTTCTGTAGTCATGCTCATCGGAATGTCAGTGTTTCTTCTATTGATAAATTAAGCTAGTGTATTAATACTCTGAAACCTTGAGCACACTATGTACATTTGCAGCTGGAATGAGATCTGATGCCTGGGCTGACCACTATAGCCAACTGAATTCAAGTTGACGTGTGTATTTTACATTGTAGTTTAAAGAGGCCCTCACTGAAATTAAAAAACATGTACAAATATCAAAGGCTCCATGGATAAATCCATCATAAAGGACAAATCGATCCCAGATGGATACAATAATTCAACTTTAATGTTTTTTCACAAAACTTAACCTATAAGTGATTATGTCAGAGAACCATAAAAGTTTGGGTTAGCCTTTCTTGTAAACCTAAACTTAATGTGACACTATAGACACCCAGACCACTTCAGCTCGTTTAAGTGGTCTAGGTGCAAATTATTGTTGACCTGCTGAAATGATGCATATACAGGGTCTGAAATAAAAGATTGCACTGTAGACATAGGTTTAGACCATTACTAATAATTTTAGCCCAGGTCCCTATTTAATGGACTACTTTCTTTTTTCTTTACAGTGTACAAGGTAAAGCTTGATGGCATCGAGCCCCGGGATAACTACAATAATTATATAATGACAATTGTGCGGGTCATTAAACAAGGTAACTCACTCCGATATGTAAAATGTTCATGGTTTCGCTTACAAGCTATCTAATCCAATAAGCTCTGAATTTGCAATAGTTAACATGAAGAAAACAACTTGTGTCATTCTGAAGCAATTTAAAGACACAATTTGCATCAGTTTACTTCATAAACTAATCACTAAAATGTTCAAAATCTCTGAATAGACTGATTGGGGTGCCTGAATGTAGAAGAATCAATTGAAAGTATTATTTCTTAGATCTTCCTTGTTTTTATCTTTCAGATTGACTGGTATTCAACGATAACATTCACAAGATTTTAAAAAATCATTCATTCATTCATTCAGGGCACTTGTCTTCACAAAAAAAAAAATGGGACGTGGGAGAATAATATATATATATCCACCAAAATGATTATCAATCCACTGATATTCATCTGTTCTCACACACACGTTTTTTCACATAAACAATGCATTGTGGTAATTCGAACGGCAAAATGTTCTCTAAAATAGCTGAGCTGTAAAAATATTCTAAATCCGCTATAATTACAGTTTGGCTAGTGTAGTTTAAATTTTGTAGTGTGATTTCCAATTTTCAAAATTTCACTGTTTGGTGAAATTACCCGTCTAGGATAGAGTTGGGCAAACCAAACAGTAGATCACTAGATGTTGAAGAACTACGCCTACCATGACACTTTTTATTTTAAAAGCTGACAAAGAATTATGGCAGTGGGTGTTCTGCAATATCTGGGGATATATGTTTGCCCAACTTTTAGTGTAGAGTCTTTTGCTGTGACTGATTTTCTGTACCAAATCCTAGTTGGATTTCCCCTTTCTACGCAACTCTTTTGAAGCAGCACTTCTTTTAACCTTGTTGCACACATTCACACCCCCACCCATTTTTTCTCCCTCAGGGACAGATGAAAACGTTCTCCAAAACAAACGAGATTTTACTAGTCTTATAAAATGTAAAAATGCATTGAATTTGAAGATTGGCCATGAATATATCATCTGGGGCATAGATAAAGACATTTTTAGTCTCGGATCTAGGTAAGTGAAGAAACGATTGAGTTGCAATGGAATTTTAAAACAATGTATAGTAAGTTATTTCGAATGAACTGCAGAATAATTGCTAGATATGTGTGTTAAGTAAATAAAATTACACTTTTTTTATTTTATTGTATAGTTAACACAACTGAAATACAATAGACTTATAAGATCAAATTACAGTTTCAAGTAATAAAATAACTTAAAAAAAAACACAAGACTAGATCAGACAAGACCAGAATGTATGTGGCTGTCCAATCACAGACTTCCCAATGCAGCGTATTGAAAAGTTTATGCAGGGCAAGTGCTCTGGGCAAAAATCAGGAGGGTGTCTTCCTTCAGTGCTGCTGGCTGAGGCTGGTGTGCCAAGTCGGCATTTGCTCTGTCTTTTCCTCCAGCTTGCTCAATACTGCAGGGGTCCGGTCGCGGTCTTAGACAGCTGTGGCACCTGAATGGACACCTGTTTAGAGATATCCATCGGGTGGCCCTAAATGCTTGGGCCATCCAACTGGCAAATCACAGTGGAACCCCAATTTTGTTCCCTAGAGTTCCACGGAACATGAATTGGGAAACGCTGCTCTATTGAAATCTGCACTTTCTGAAGTACTTTGTGTGTGTGGAGTGCCTAATTAATATAAATGCAAACAAAATGGAGCATCTAAAGAAATAAGGTTAACACACTTAACTGTTACTGATCTACCTCCCAGACTCCGAGGCACAGGGTGGGACATTCATCGTTCAAAACAGGGACCTCCTGTGTATAAAAGTGTGTCTTTATTATTCCCAATAAAGACCGTTCCTATGTACCCTTCTCTTGGCTAGTGTTTGGATGAGACAGCTACAACAGCTATAATCACTCAGGTATCCAGCGCTCAAAGAGAGATGGAGACACTTAAGCTGAGCTCTGTTACAACAGGAATGCTTTATTGGCTTCAAATATTATTTTATTATTTATAAAGTGCCAGAGAATTCCGTAGAGCTGACCATTATATACACAGACCGATGGCAGGGGGTCATTGACTAGAACAATAAAGATGCCACCCTGTGTCTGTGTCTGGGAGAAAACTAGATCAAGTAACCGTGATCGAATCAAGGTGCACTAAACGAATATATCCCCCCAAAAACACACATTTAAACAGTAAACTCCACATATATGGTATAATTATGTGTCATTTTACACGCATTGCACTTATATTCTAAATTCTGGTGTGGAAGACTCTCTTTCTATGTTTGTTTCCCTATGTTACAAGTTATATGGATGAAAATGTTTAGGATGTTCTAGAAAATAAAATAAATGTTATAAATAACAGTGAGAATGTATAGAGAGCTCTTTAATTTTTATGCAGTTCCTTTTGTATTTATAGTTAATATTATCTTTTAACTTACAGTAGTGATGGTGCGCAACAACAAAAATCGTATTCACTATGGACCTCTTATAGAGAGTGAAAGTAACCCTGTGTTCATGAAATGAGGTGTATACAGAGTGGAAATGTTATTAGTAATTGAAACACAAACAGTGGTTGTGGTAAAACAAAGCGCAATCTGTAGGTATACTTGCAAACATGGAAATCACTCTGACACCTATTAAAGAGACAAAAACAGAAAGAGAGCTCCTAGTGCAGCATAGTAATTCACTTATAGATATCTAAAATAAAGCAATATATGGAATTTTCTTTGCGGTTTCCTGAGGCTGGTGAGCGGACTAACTACCTCCACAACAAGTTTTGCTGTTTTTTAATTGTTATTAATAAAGTATACTTACCTGAGATCCGTATTGCAAGCTTCTTTTCCACGGATCCCACGCACTCTAGGGGCTGATCCTCCCTGAGTGCTATAGCAACGAGTGGTGCTTTTACCACTCCAATCTTGTGAGTGTAATACCCTAAGGGCACCTCTGTTTGCTTTATTTTATATATCTATAAGTGAATTACTATGCTGCACTAGGAGCTCTCTTTCTGTTTTTGTCTCTTTAATAGGTGTCAGAGTGATTTCCATCTTGCAAGAATACCTACAGATTGTGCTTTGTTTTACCACAACCACTTTTTGTTTCAATTACTTATAATATTTACACTCTGTATACACCTCATTTCATGTACACAGGGTTACTTTCACTCTCTATAAGAGGTCTATAGTGAATACAATTTTTGTTGTTGCGCACCATCACCACTGTAAGTTATTTTATGTTCACATCGTTTTACCAGTATTTGTTTTTGTTGGTTGCTGCATGTACTAAGATCCTTCTCCCATTTGCACCATCCTATTTATAATCGTTTTTTTTATTTTGAATATTATCTTTTAGTTACACCTACAGCATTGGAAAAGACACTTGGATCGAGTGGTGGCCAAATGACCAGGAGTGTCAGTTACCAGTCAATGCTGAAACCTGTGATAACTTGGATCTACTTGCTGAAACACTGGAACTTATTGGCTGCCCTAAATAACTTTTGAACAATATGATGAAAACCCCTAAGATATGTTTCCATTGTGGAATCAGTAAATCATATCAGTATCTCTATTTCTGGACTGGGAGATTACATTGTAGGAGTTCTAGAACTGAAGAGAAAATAAAACATGTTATTTTTCTGACCCATTTTGTTAATTCCAATGTTTGGTTTATCTGTGAGTTGTAAAGAATAACCCTCAGAAATTTCTGTTAGTACACTGTGTCTCTCTACCCTCCCACCGAACACCTTCCCTTGCCATTCTTCACTGAGAATTAGAAAACATTCAATTACCATTTTAATGATTGTACAAATCATGACATTTAAATAAAAACAAAACAGAAAAATTAAAGAGAGAGCTAATAATTAATAATAAAAATTCAGCAGTGGGCAGACTTGCTCCCTTGAGAATCGGCCAAACATCTGAAATATTCTAGCACCTAAGAGCCTGAATTAGAAATATTTTTAAAGAGGGCATATCATTCCAAATACAGACACATTTATTGTCCATCCACAATCTTTACACTTGAATCTGAGTCTATACAAAATTTGATGAAACAGTCGGTTAGTACACTTATCCAACTTACTCAGATCTCCACCACACACCGGACCATATTTCAGTCGTCTCTACAGGCTCCGATCTGCAAACCAGCAAGGCATGACTGGATTAATAATTGCACAGGACCCTAGGTAAGGTTCTAGATTAGGGTCCCCTCACTGAGCCCTGGGCTCTCTTTTCTGTATGGTGTGTGTTGAGTGAATGGAGTGTGTGTAGAGGAGCTGTTTAGGGGGTCTGAGTGTGTCTGTGTGTACTGGTCAAGTGGCTGATTGTTGTGTGTATGTTTTGGCAACCACTTGAGTACCTTCCCTTGTGTTCCAGTGATGGGTGAACTGGATCAATAGTGGTCTGGTGGAGGAACTTCATTGTCTGTATCCATAACAGTAACAGACCACTTTATGAATCAGAACCCTGGTTGTTGTGCCGTAAGTCATCTAGAAGTGCCAGGGGAACCATGAGGGTGCTTTTAAAGTGATCTGTACCTGATATTGGTACAGACCGAAATCTTCCCTCAGACAGCAGCATATCAAGGTCATGAGGTGTGTGTAGGCTAGTCCTTTAATCTCGCACCCCCTTCCAAAACCATAGTTCCTGTAATATATATATGTAAAAAAGTTAAATAAAATTAAGAATGCTCCAACATGGATGAGAGCACTCAAACCTTCAAAGTAAGCAAACTACTGGTAACTGCTTTAAAGTGGCACTGTCATGCCAAACTTACCTTTCCTCAATCTCTTCCTCTTCTCCCCCTCTCTCAGGATCTGTTCTTCTTTTCTTCCTGTCTTGTTTAATTTTCTTTAAAATCATAAAACAAAGTAGGGACTTTTTGCCTTATGGAGGATTCCTCCGCTTGACCTGCTCTGACCAGCGGAGGAGCAAAGTGTGCTTCATTTCCGCTGGTCAGAGCAATTTTCCCATGATCCTTACCTTTCCTCTGTGTTCCCGCGATGCTTCCTGTCATTTTACATGAAACTGTCGAATTGCGTTCTAACTGAATGAGAACAGTATGTTCGTTTCTTTTAGAACTCAATTCGGCACTTTGTTCGGATCGCAATTTTATTTGAATGAATGAAACTCCGATCCTATTCATTGCCGCGGCTGCATCTTGCAGCTGCTTAGTAGATAACTCTCTAATTCCCACGGTATCAGGGAGTTATCTACTAAAAGGCTGAAAGACCTAAATTAGTATTTCAGCCACATTTACTAAGTAAAAATTATAAAGAAACAGATGTAGGCTCTCACTATAATCAATCAATAAGAATGGGCTGCATTAGATCAGCAAGGATTCCCAAACATTGTGTAGTGTGTAAATTGTGAAAAAAAACAAGAATGATCTACCGCGCCAAAATAACCACACAGATAAAAGATAATATTTAAAGTGCATAATTAGTATATAATCTTATATATATAAATATACACACACACACACTCATTGACCATGTAACAGTATGGGTCCAACCATATAGAAAATCACTTCAAAATTATGTACTGATGGCACCAGGCCCCTTTCAAGACTTCATAAAATGAACACAAAATAATCAGATAGGTGTTGGAGGGTTTTTGGAGGCCTTGGTACTCTTTCACATATTTAGTGGCACTGAGCAAACTTGCAGCCGTTCAGGCAGGGAATACATTCACCGATTAAAAAGATAGATCCGTCAGTTATAACATTCTCTCCAGAGGTGGGCTCCCTAAGACATCAAGTAAATTAGATAGAATCATGGTAGGCCGCATTCTTATTGCGACCACGTCGATCATACCTTGCTATTGGAAGTCTACTTTACCATCAATTAAGGAAGCACTGATTTTAGTTCTCAATAATAAAAGATATGAACTGGCGTTGCAGCAACCCTCACCTCAAAAAGTGAATTTGCTGTTTAACTGGAAAAATGAAAGAGTTCCACACACCCTGTTATACATTGATTTACAATACATTTAGACATGCAATTGGTTATATTACTCGCTGTATTATATTTTGACAGGAACAAATCCACATATTTCATTTATTATTATATATTTAGATAGTACCCATCCCCTCACTTTTTTTTTTTAAATAATTTTTCCCCCCTTCCCTTCTTATTTCTACCCGTTTCTATTGCTAAATGTTGATTTCTTTAAATACCAAATTAATGTGAAATGTTTTTTTTTTACTGTTCAATAAAAATAGTTTGAAAAGAAAGTAAACTGAACTCTATTAATAACCTCAAATAGTAACGTCATACTGGTAAGGCATGAGGGTCAGAAAGCATGAAAACATACAAAAAAGTGATTTGGCCACTAGGTGACACTGTAAGTAATAACAAACACAACATGTGAGAATTTCACCTGACACCAGTGAAATAAAATAATATTACTTAACTTATGGGTCACAGCCTCCCAAGGTTATCTCCCAGATGGTAACCTCTTTTAACAAATATATATATGCAAAAACAAATTTAAGGGTTCTTTTGACCTATAAAACAAATGATAACAATATTGTCTAATAATCTCATAACAAATGAATTTTTATGTAAGAAAAATCCCTTTTTTACGGAAGAATTCTCTAGCTAATCGTTTTTTGGTACCAAAAAGAACTGTCCGGAGAGGAGTCCAAAGGAAGAATTCGAGCCCCCTACTACCATCGAGGGTGGAACCCCTAAGGCGTTCATATCAAGTTTACTTGAGTGCAACTGATAATTTGTGTTATGTGATTATTAGACAATATTGCACTATGTTATCATTTGTTTTATAGGTCAAACGGCAAGAACCCTAAAATTTATTCTGCATATACATGTAAGTAATAACAACCTTAAAATAAATTGGCGTGGAAAGCTTAACAAAGAACAAGCAGGTGAACATCAAAAATCTATTGAATTTTTTCAGCCTACAGGGTGGTTCAACTGTCTCATTCAAAGCTAAGGCTTTTGAATGAGACAGTTGTCTCAAAGTGACGCCTGTCCCTTTTAATATGGGCATTACAAATCCAATTAAATTGTGGTTATTTTTTATAAATGTTGTTCACCCCTTCTTTTAACCCATGCAATTTTCTCACACATCTGCTCTCTCTTAATCTCCCGTCAAACTATAGGATCTACAGGAGACTAATTGCCATTCCCACCACATTTCACTTCTGCCTCTACAAACTGTGAATCTGTCATCTCACCCTGCCCTCTGTCCCTCTCCTCTACCCTCAGTTTGCCCAGGTACACAGATGATCTCTTGCACATGCCCTATAGCTACAGATGGAGTTGACCTCAAAATAGGAAAAGGAGAGAGAGAAGGACAATGGAAGAAATCCAATCCTGTTTTCACTTTGTTCTCTGAAATGGCAATTCCAGTGCAACATGTTGGATTTAAATGTTCCTCATGATATCTTTATCTCCAATCTGGTACTTACTGTAACCTGTCTCTCTTCTTTCCAATGCCTGTCTAACATTTGGTGGCTTTCATTTAGACCACTCTGCCAGACCATGTGACCTCATGTTGGATTCTAGCTTTGCTCTCACTGCTTCTTCCAACCTTTCTCCTCATGTCCTTCTCACTCCTTTTTCTATTTTGAGGTCTGCCTCGTCAACCCCTTCTCTCCCACATCTACCACATCTTACTCTTTACTCTTTGTGATAATATTTCAGGTAGCACCAATCAAAACCCAGTCATTCATCTCATGCAAACTAAGCTCACTCACTATATCCAAAGTTATTCCGACACAGCTGAATCACACAAAACCTCCTCCACCATAAATAATGGAATTCTCTTCCCTCGGACATGTAATTATTAGCCACCCCTTGACTCCATATTTCATAAACAAAAAGTTTAACATTGACACAGGCATTATATGTATCAAGATCTCCTCACCTCTGACAAGTTGACCTTCCCCTTGTGTTTTTTTTTGTTTTTTAACCACATTACCTCCTCGATTGTGGTTTTGTTTCAACAGTGCCCTTTTCACATCTTATGGCTTCCAAAAAAAAAATGTGTCAGTCAATAATTTGTTGAAATCACCAGGAGGAGGCTAAATATAAACTTAGTTCAAGTAAAAAATAAGTCCACTGCCGTAATTAAGAAGAATAAGTTAAGTGCCAGTAATATGGAAATGCTGACACTATACGTGCCTGCTAAAGAGTATAAATTAATCCCTATACATATATGAGTCATCAGATTAGCATTTTGCATGTTTCTTCAAACCTCGAACTAAACCCAACATGAGAAATTTCAAGCATCATTTTCTAGAAAGGGACTGATTTCACGGGAAAGAAAACAACGCTAGATGCATGCGCTAAGCAAAAAAAAGTTAGCAAATTGTGACCTTCAAGAACTGGTGATGGTAGCTTTGGAGATGAAGACACATACAGTCATAGGAAGGAGAGGTTCTGCCATAAAAATGTATTAACATCTAATACTATATATCCTCTTTCTTCATCGATTTAATATACGCAGATCTAGATTTAAGGGATTATCTGAGAATTCCATTGCTTATGCCATACCCCCACAGTGTGCCCATAAATGGCAGCACCGCTTACATATTATAATCAAATTCTGCGTCCACGGACGCATTGGCATTTAGATCAGTTCACTAAAGCTCAGCAAGATAGTAGTTATCTCATTTGGGGTTCATTCACTAAACACCAAATAGAGGTAATTTTAAAACTAATTATGAAACTCAGGCTAAAATAGATAAACCGCAACTACAGCTAAGTCAGAGAATATTACAAATCATCTATTTTGGTCTTAATTTTGCAATTTATTTTCAGTTTCCTGCCTCACACTGTCTGGTGAATATAGACCAATAGTTATCACTTTGCATCGTTTACAGGTTTGGAAAAAATAATGCTTAACCCCTTCAGGACGGAGTCAATAGTACACGTTCTGATCAAAACAAAACGTAAACAAAAACTGGAAATTGCGCTTTATGTGGTAATTCACCGCTGTCACAGTAAGTGCACCCACACCTATTATATATCATTTTGTTCAGGAGAAACAGGGCTTTAATTTATCATTAAGTATTCATATATGGAACATCATTTATTATGAATAAAATTTTTGTAAAATTTAGAAAGTAAGATTTTTTTTTACATTTGTATTTCCGTCTGACATTTTAGCTGTTAATGTCATAATACTGTTAGGTATTACTGCAAAAAAATGCACATATTTGTAATCAGGGATGTCTCACGAGTACAACAGTACCCCCCCATTGACAGATTTTATGGTGTTTTGGAAAGTTACAGGGTCAAATATAGAACGTTCCATTTTCACATTGAAATTTGCCAGATTAGTAATGTTACCTTTGAGACGGTGTGGTAGCCCAGGAATGAGAATTACCCCCATAATGGCATACCATTTGAAAAAGTATACAACCCAAGGTATTGAACGTGGGGTATGTTTAGACATTTTTAGTAGCCACTTAGTCACAAACACTGGCCAAAGTTAGCGTTCATATTTGTTTTTGTGTGAAAAAAGCAAAAAACTAATATTTGGCCAGTGTTTGTGACAAAGTGGCTACTAAAAATGACTGGACATACCCCATTTGCAATACCTTGGGTTGTCTACTTTTGCAAATGGTATGCAATCATGGGGGTAATTCTTATTCCTGGGCTGCCATACGCTCTCAAAGGCAACATAACCAATCTGGCAAATTTCAATGTAAAAAAAAATGAAATGCAAGCCTTATATGTGACTCTCTAACTTTCCAAAACACAATAAAACCTGTACATGGGGGGTATTGTTATTCTCGGGAGACTTCACTAAACACAAATATTAGTGTTTTAAAACAGTAAAACATATTACAACAATAATATAGTCCATAAAAGTGCCGTTTGTAAAAAATGCAAAAAAACTTAACTTTTACTTAAAATATCATGGTTGTAATACAATTTACCAGTTTGAAACACTAATATTTGAGTTCAGCGAAGTCTCCCGAGTAAAACAGTACCCCCTATGTACAGGTTTTATGGTGTCTTGGAGAGTTACAGGGTCAAATATAGTGCTTGCGAATTAAATTCTCTGCACTTTCTCCCTGTGTTGTCAGGCATGTCAATCAAATTTTAATTAATCAAATCACATAATTATGTTAAAAGATTACTTAAATATACATGTAGAATTTTAATATATATGCATTTATAGGTATTTAAATTCTATGTGTATACTAATGTAATCTTTTATGTAATTATATGTATTTATCTATATATATATTTGCGGTTATTTGTATTTTATATATAGATAGATAGATATAGAATGTCATTCTAAGTGTATTTTGTTACCAATATATATATATTAATAACAAAATACAGTTAGAATGAAATTACATATGAATATATAATTTTAATAAAATTTAGTTTCAATATTTTATTTATTTATTTTATTTTATTTATTTATTAATGTAATTTTACTACATGACAGGAGGCTTCATATTTGCATATCTTTCTTTACTGAAAACTCCAGCAGCATAGAAACAGTAACAACCAATCATAGAAAAGATATGGTGCCCATAAAAGGCCCTGTCTATGACATCACTTCCTCTTTCTTTGCTTCTCCAGCTATCTACAGGTCAGAGTATTTGTTACCTCTCTGTTTGCTGTAAATGTCTTATCCTTTATTGCCATATTCTATTGTATTTTATTCACACCCTGTCTACCTATTCCTGTCCCTTTACCTTTTCCTTATGCAGTTCCCCTGTTTTCATTGCACTATATTATAACCTTGTATTATTGTGCTTGTTTTACCGGCGGACCGCGGGCGTCACGGCTGTCTGTGCCGCGCTCGCTGCGCGGTCCGGCTCTCTCTATCTTACAGGGGGCTGGGTGGGACGGGTGGAGGGTAGCCGGGGTTAAACTTTTCTTTTTGCCGCGGATTTCCAGCCCGCTCGCGGGTAGTTCTTACACACGCGGCCGGCGGCCATCTTGGATCTCGCGGCTCGCGAGACCCGCGACGGCCGCCCTGCCTTCACACACGGCGGCTCGGGAATCACCCGATCGCCGCAACGAATGCGGGGGAGTGCCGTTAGGGCATTTTGTTGCTTCCCCCTCCAGCCCTCAATCCCTACACTAGGAATTTTTGTTTAACAACACCCTCACAGAACTCCCTAATCAATGTGAGGGGCGAATAAAGCATGCACAAGCTGTAATGGTTATAAGGCTGTAATACCAGTGTTAACTGAGCACACTATTTAAAGGACCCCTGCAGCAATATATATATATATTGCAACCACCCCTCAGGGGACTTGGCACCACTGTACCCTTCAAAGGGAAGATCATACCTGTTACCCTATACAGGGTCATATTATACTACTGCACCCTAGGGTGCACGCTGATGTGGGTGTCCTCTGGGTATTTTTTCATGGCACACCACCGGGGGTGACCCCCCCAGACACGCATGCTAGGGCGCCACAGCCCATTTCAGTTTGATGTGGGTGTCCTCTGGTTACCACGGCACACCACCCGGGGTGACCCCGAGATTATGCACAAGGGCCTACACCTAACACGCAAATTCACGCATAGCCTGAATTTTATTATTTACGTGCATACTCAGCCTTCCTTATATATACCCTGTACCGACTGGACATCCCGGTCGTGATAAGAGTCGATCATTATATGCATGTGACTCCCCCACGAACTGTCCACTGAACCTTGTTTTCGCCCGATAGGTCGAATTACACCACAGATCATGGAAGATACCCAAGCCAGCCAAGACTTCCAAGCCATGATCAATGCCGCCGTGGCGGCTTCTGTGGAAAAGGCCCTCTTGAGGGCTCTACCCCCCAGCCGGGAAGCCACAAGCCCACAAGAGTGCATGGAAGCCTCGGACTCGGAGGTGTCCAAAGCCAAGAGACAAAGAAAGACTTCAAGTCCACCCTCAACCAAGACTAAGGGCAAGCTACCCATCAAACGCGTTAAGAAGGTGGACCGTCAGCCCACCCCTTTCCCACCTCAATCCTCGGATGAGGAGGACACCCACGTCCCACACGCCTTAGACGTAGTGGACGAGTGGCATGGAGACGGCTCACATTCGGACGACGAGGAGTGGCAAGACCTACCACCCACCTCATCGAAATACGTCAAAGAGACCTTCATAGACGGCCGGGACATGGCCGGCGGGGACCACCCCACCGCACAGGCCGAAGACGGTGCTTTCCTGGACGACCAGGGGACACTACTGTTCGACCCACGCACCATCCGGCACCCACGGTCCTCAGAGTGGACAATGCCGGATCATTTGACGAAGTTTATACACTACTGGCTGCGCAAACCGCTGGAAAAGGAGGTACGGGCACGCCTCAGGGCCGAATGCCCCAGGCCGCTAATTCCCGATAAAGTGGCACTGACGCCCAAATTCAATGACACGATGGTGGTCTTCATGTCACGCACGGGCAGGGACCCGCGCAAAGGGGTGGAGAAAGGCATGAAGGCGGCACAGGACAAGGTGCTGGATTTGCTCGGTCCCATCGCCAAGATGCTATACTTTGCTGACCTAGCCCTCAGCCAAGACTCCCAACTAGACCCACACATCATCCGAGAATGGGCTCAACGCGCGGTGTGCCTGCTGGGCAACGCCAATGCCGCCCTTTGCGTCGAGAGACGCAGGTCGGCTATGATACGTATCGACAGCAAGCTTCTAGATCTCGGGGCTAAAGAATTCGGACCGAAAGCCCGGGGCTTGTTGTTTGGTGATGCCTTCATCATGGAACTCAAACGTCATGTGAACCTCTTCACCACCTTAAATAAGGCCCAAACCTCTCTCAAACAGGTGTTCCACACCCCATCTACTAGAGGTGTTTTTGGAAGGGCTGGTCGGCAACAGAGCCGTGCCACCAGCCGATTTTGGACCTCAGGTTCCAGATCTTACCCGCAAGCCTCAAATTTCTTCCCCTCTTCATCACAAAGACCCCCAACTTTCCGAGGAACTGGGAGGACCAGAGGTGTCAGAGGCCGTGGACGCGGCCGCTTTAACAATGGTGAGTCCCTCTATACACACCGATGCACCAAAGTTTATTGCTGGCAACCTATCTTTTTTCTTCCAGAACTGGGAGCTGATTACCAGGGACGCCTGGGTCTTACAGACGGTACGCGGCTTCGTAATAGACTTTGCCGCGCAACCCGTCCAAACCGCCCCCCCTCCCCCGATCCACATGTCGTCAGAACAAAACCGCCTGGTGGACGAAGAGGTCCACACACTCTTCGAAAAGGGCGCGATTCAATACGCACCGGACAGGGGAGGCTTCATGAGCAACATCTTCTTGGTCAAGAAAAAGACGGGCGAGTACCGGCCGGTTATCAACCTCCGGCAACTAAACTCTTTTGTAATCTACAGACACTTCAAGATGGAAGGAATCCATCTTCTACAAGACCTCCTCGTCAAGAACGACTGGTTTACGCGCCTGGACCTCAAGGACGCGTACCTCACGGTTCCGGTGGACAGGCACTACCGTCAGTTCTTACGTTTCCGTTGGAGAGGGCGGGCGTGCCAGTTTACGTGCCTGCCATTCGGTCTCAGCTCGGCCCCGTGGTGTTTCACGAAGTTGCTGAGACCAGTGATGGCTCACCTCCGTACAAGGGGCATACGGTGTCTCGTATATCTGGACGATTTGCTGATTTTCTGCGAATCCGTCTCCAGACTACGATCGCAGACGAAATTTGTAGTTCACTTGCTAGAATCTCTGGGGTTCGTAGTGAACAGACAGAAATCGTCTCTCTCCCCATCCCAGTCAGTACAATTCCTGGGCTTCGACATCGACTCGAAGGAATGCGTGCTCAGCCTCCCTTCAAGAAAGATTGCCTCAATAAGGAAGGAAATCAGGCGGACTTTACGGATGGACACGATACCGCTCAGGATGCTCGCTCGGATTGTGGGACTCCTGTCCTCGTCCATACAAGCGATATTTCCGGGCCCTCTACACTACAGGGCCATGCAACGGCTGAAAGCGGGATATCTGCGTGCCGGTCATTCCTACGACCACTGGATCCCACTCACTCCGGAGGTGAGGTCGGAACTGCGATGGTGGTTACTTCACATACAAGCCTGGAACGGCAAGGCGATCTTCGGCCCTTCCCCGGACTTCATCGTAGAATCGGACGCCAGTTTGTGGGGATGGGGTGCCCACTGCTCAGATGCCTCCACGGGGGGCCCATGGCAGGGAGAGGAGACCAACCTACACATCAACTGCCTGGAGTTGATCGCGGGCTCCTTCGCCATTCGCAGCCTGGCCAAGGACAGGTCGAATTGTTGTATCCTGCTCCGCATGGACAACATCTCGGCGGTGCAATACATCAACCGCCTAGGCGGGGCGAGGTCGAAGGACCTGACCGAAGCCACGAAGGACATTTACAGTTTCTGCCTACGGAGGAACATCACGATACAGGCGGAATACCTCCCAGGAGTCTCCAACCTGACGGCGGACTGGTTTTCCCGACACTGGAGAGACACCAGCGATTGGAAACTCAACGAGGAAATATTCCGGACACTACGGCGACGGAAGGGACCGCTATCAATAGACTTGTTCGCCTCCAGGACCAACCACCAACTTCAAAAATACTACAGCTGGCTCCCGGACCCGATGTCCGAAGCAGCGGACGCATTTCTTCAGGACTGGCCCCCTCACGGGGCCTACGCCTTTCCTCCATTCTCTATGATTCCACGAGTGCTGCGGTACACACGCACTCACAGGATATCGCTCCTGCTCATAGCACCTCTCTGGCAGAGTCAACCGTGGTTCCCGGACCTCCTGGAGATGTCCGACGACCATCCCATTCGGCTTCCGACCGTTCCACTCCTCCTGTCGGGACCTCGGGGGGAACTACATCCCCTCGTCCTGGAAGGACAACTGGAACTGGTGGCCTGGACGATTTCAGGGGCTCCTGGTCGGTCCACGGCCTATCGCAATCTACTAAAGACCTCCTGTGGGACTCATGGGCTCCTGGCACAAGGAGATGTTACATCTCCGCATGGTCAGCCTGGAGTGATTGGTGCGTGGAGAGGGATTCCGATCCCTTTACTGCCTCTGTCCCACTGATCCTCAACTACCTCGCTCATCTTTTCTCGACGGGTCGATCATATAGATCCCTTAACGTGATCAGATCGGCTATTTCAGCGGCGCATGTCCCAGTACAGGGCAGGCCAGTGGGTCAGGACCCGCTGGTATGCCGTCTACTGCGGGGCGCCAGACTTACGAGGCCCCCAGCGCCCAAGTATTCCAGCCTCTGGCAAGTTAATGGGGTGCTGGATTTCCTCCGGGGCTGGCCGGATAACCCGTTTCTATCACTGAAACAGCTCTCAGCTAAACTGACCCTTTTGCTATGCCTCGTCTCTTTCCGATGGGTGTCTGACATTAGGGCGTTTGACGTGGACGGTTTCTCCCTCACCCCGGAGGGAGTCGCCTTTTCCATATCAAGACGGACTAAATCGGATTCGTCCTCGGTGACTTATCCGTATTTTGATTCCGACCCCAAGCTATGTGTGGTCAAGACACTGTTGAGGTATACGGAAATCACGGCCAACCTTCGGAGTTCCCCGACGGGTCAGCTACTGATTTCTTACGTAAGGCCTCACGGACCGGTGTCTACTATAACCTTGGCCAGATGGGTTCGCTGGCTTTTAAGGTTGGCAGGAGTCGACTCCGGTTTCGGAGCGCATTCGGTCAGAGGGGCGGCAGCATCCCAAGCCTTCTTGGCAGGCGCCTCCCTAACCGACATCATGCGTTGTGCGGATTGGACACGGGAGAGTACGTTTAGGACGTTCTACTTCCGTCACTCCTCTCACGCTTCCTTCACACTGGTCAGAGCTAAGCTTTAAAAATGCAAATATGAAGCCTCCTGTCATGTAGTAAAATTGAAGATTATATTAGCTTTAGTGTACTAATAATCTTAATTTTAGTAATGACAGGAGGCAAGTATTTCCCACCCGTTGGATCCCGCCCAGGTGAGTTTGTACTATACAGATTGTGTTCGGTGTTCAGGAAGACTTATATGTTTATATTGTACTACCTCTTAGGAGGACACATGTTCAGTACCGTAGCTGTATTTTGGTCATATTCGTTGCACTATATGATGTTTTCTTCTTATCGCATGGCGTAGCTTGCAGGTTTAGTTATTTGAGTATTGACAGTTTTTTCACAGTACTATATACTCTAGGAGATGTTACAGTTTTCGTAATATTTATAATATGTGGGCACGTTGCCACTTCAGAAACCTTTCACTTTTTTCTTTTTCTTTCAGCATGAATGTCTTCTCTACGGGACAAAGTTTCACCTTCCATGCCGCTTGACCATGGAATCGCCGGAGTTGGTTTTTCTCCGCTACGTTTGTTGAAATGTTAACGGACTAAGTTTATGTTGTTGTTGTTTATCATTCGCTTCAAAGAAAGAGGAAGTGATGTCATAGACAGGGCCTTTTATGGGCACCATATCTTTTCTATGATTGGTTGTTACTGTTTCTATGCTGCTGGAGTTTTCAGTAAAGAAAGATATGCAAATACTCGCCTCCTGTCATTACTAAAATTAAGATTATTAGTACACTAAAGCTAATATAATCTTCAATTATACGTGTATATATATATATATATATATAATATATGTGTATATATCTATTATATATAATATATATACATATATATATGTAACGTCATTCTAAGTGTATTTTAATACTAATATATACTAATATTAGTATTAAAATACACAACGTATGACGTTATATATATATAAATGTATTTAATTTATTTTAAAACATGTCTAACTTATTTTTTTTACATTTCCCACCAGCAGTCTGAAATATCAGACAGTCCCCCTGCTGGCAGATCCACAGCCAGCTATAGGGGGCCATGTGATCGCTCTTTGAGAGCGATCACATGGCCCCCGGGAGCCTCATTCTCTGGGGGAGGGCTGCCTGGGCGGTCAGGCAGCCCTCCAGAAGAGGATCGCAGCGGAGGTAAGTAGCTGCGATCCCCTGGGGCTGAAAGCTGTTACGGCGTTCTATGCCGCTGCAACGACTTTAAAGCCGTGACGGCATAGAACGCTGTAACGGCGTTAAGGGGTTAATTCAGTAATAGCAAAATTACAGCAAAATTGGTGGGAATTAGGATGCAAAAGGCAGCATTAAAATATGCAGTAATGTTATCTTACTAGTAATTCAGAGCTGGAATAACCTTAAGATGACCTAACGCATCCACTCAGTGCCCAGGAGTTAAATAACCATAAATGCTCAGTCTATGTGGATACTTCATTGGGCATGGAATATTTGTTTTAATTTTGTGAGGGGTTTTTGAACTGCAGGTGCTTTTTATTTTTCAGTTACCATTTGGGATATTACGGATATTTATTTAGCCTTTTTGCAGCCAGAGAAAGATGGCTCTAGAAGAAAAAAGACTTCTGATGGTAAACATATTTTGTTTTCAAGAATTTTTGTATTTTTTAGCTCCTAAGCCCCATCAGTATTATTAGGGTCTGGTGGGTGTATCATTGTGGGAGAGTGGCTATGGTCATTTGACCAGAATGAGAAAATAACGATAAAATTTGGCAGTGAGATTTGCAAATCTGGTTGGAATCTGGATGGTTTTATCATATTTTGGTGATTAGTGATTAATCCTAAAAGTTTTATTTACTAATGTGATGTCCAAATTGTAGGCCTAAATAACGGAAACGATAACATAACTGACTTGGAAGTTATATTTTCAATTCAACTATTTGACCTAAAATTTGAAATTCATTTTTAATTCACGTTGAATTCCTGACAAATTATACTTTGAGAAATAACTCAATTTTGTTTTACAAAAGTGAGAATTCAAAATAAATTTATAGTGAATTCTTTCCTACCTGGAGGAATATAACATGTTCTGTTGTTTTCACCAATTATAATGCTTCTTTTTGAGCTTAAAGTCAATCTGTCTCTTCTTGTCGTCTTTGCTTCTGTTGCAAAACCCTTTGAAAGTTTCAGATTTTTTTTTTTAACGAAAACATGAGTGAGCAGGAAAAACACATTTCTTTTATTTCTTATGGGATTCATATTCAACTGTAGGTTATAACAGAATTGCACAATCATAAAACAAAACATGGCAACAAAGAAAAGAATTAAATGACCCATGTTCAAAGGTCTGCATACCCTTAGTTCTTAATACTGTGTATTGCCCCCTTTGGTATCATTGACAGTGTGCAGTCTTTTGTAATAGTTGTCTATGAAGCCTCTTATTCTTGCAGGTGTAATAGCTGCCCATTCGTCTTGGCAAAATGCCTCCAGGTCATGCAAAATCTTTGGTCTTCTTGCATGATCCGCACCTTTGAGATCTCACCAGAATGGCTCGATGATATTAAGGTCAGGAGACTGTGATGGCCACTCCAGAACTTTCACCTTTTTCTGCTGTAACCACTGTAGGGTCAACTTGGCCTCATGCTTAGAGTCATTGTCATGCTGGAAAGTCCAAGAGCGTCCCATGCATAGTCTTCGTGCAGAAGAATGCAAATTGTCTGCCAGTATTTTCTGTTAACATGCTGCATTCATCTTGCCATCAATTTTCACACGATTCCGTGTGCCTTTAGTGCTCTCCCCCTATCCCCCCCAAAACATCAGTGAGCCACCACCATTCTTCATAGTGGAGATGGTATTCTTTTCACTATAGGCCATGTTGACCCCTCTCCAAACATAACTCTCATGGTTCTAACCAAACAGCTCTATTTTGGTCTAGTCACTGCAAACTACAGTGTGCCAGAAGTTGTGAGGCATGTCAAGGTGTTATCAGGCATATTGTAACCAAGCTTTTTTTGTGGCATTGGCGCAGTAAAGGCTTCTTTCTGGCAACTCAGCCATGCAGCTCATTTTTGTTCAAGTATCGTCGTATTGTGCAACCACACCATCTTTTTCCAGAGTAGCCTGTATTTCTCCTGGGGTTACCTGTGGGCTTTTCTTTGTATCCTGAACAATTCTTCTGGCAGTTGTGGCTGAAATCTTTCATGGTCTGCCTGACCTTGGCTTGGTATCGAGAGATCCCCAAATTTTCCACTTCTTAATAAGGGATTGAACAGTACTGACTGGCATTTTCAAGGCTTTAAGGACCAAACTTCTGTAATAAAAGGGGTTGTGTCATGTGTCCTTAAGGGGTTAAATATCTTTGTATATCCTTTTCCATCTTTATAAAGTTTCATTACCTTGTTACGCATGTCTTTTGACAGGTATTTTCTGCTCCCCATGGCTCAGTATCTAGCCTGCTCAGTGCATCTACGTGAGAGCTAACACACTCATTGACTATTTATACAAGACACTAATTGCAATATACAAAGCTACAGATGTGGAAAATGAATCTTTAATTGCCATTTTAACATTTGTGTCATTGTGTGTGTCTGTAACAAGGTCAAACATTCAAAAGCATGTACCGTATATACTCGAGTATAAGCCAAGTTTTTCAGCACATTTTTTGTGCTGAAAAACCCCAACTCGGCTTATACTCGAGTCACTGTCTGTATTATGGCAATTTACATTGCCATAATACAGACTGGGGGCTGGCAGCGAGCGCTTACCTCTCCTGCAGCTCCTGTCAGCTCTCTCCTCCTCCGCGCCGGTCCGTGCAGCACCTCGGTCAGCTCCCAGTGTAAGTCTTGCGAGAGCCGCGGGGTCATAGTGCGGCTCTCGCGAGACTTACAGTGTGAGCTGACAGAAGAGCTGCACGGACCGGCGCGGAGGAGGAGAGAGCTGACAGGAGCTGCAGGAGAGGTAAGTAACAGCTCTGCCAGCCACCCTCCTCCCCCCACTGAACTGCCACTGGACCACCAGGGAAGGAGAGCCCCCCTCCCTGCCATGTATCAAGCAGGGAGGGGGGACAACAAATAAATAAATATAATAATACATAAATATAAATAATAATAAAAAAATAATTAAAAAAATAATATAACGAAAAAATTAAAATAATATTAATTAATAATATAAAAATATAAATAATAATAAAAAATAATTAAAAAAAATAATAATATAACAAAAAATTAAAATATTTTTTTTATTTATAAAAATGCCCACCCCCCACCAAGGCTCTGCAACACAAACACACACTGCATCACACACACACTGCACTCATATACACACACTGCATTCACACACACACACTGCACTCATACACACACACTGCACTCATACACACACACTGCACTCATACACACACTGCACTCATACACACACTCTGCATTCATCATATACACACACTGTAAATAAATATTCAATTAATATAATTTTTTTAGGATCTAATTTTATTTAGAAATTTACCAGTAGCTGCTGCATTTTCCACCCTAGTCTTATACTCGAATCAATACGTTTTCCCAGTTTTTTGGGGTAAAATTAGGGGCCTCGGCTTATATTCGGGTCGGCTTATACTCGAGTATATACGGTAAATTTTTGATCAGGGCCATTTTCGTGATTTCTGTTATCATTATGATTTAAAAAGGAGCCAAACTATGTGATAATAAATGGCTTCATATGATCACTATTCTAGAATAAAATACTTTTTTTTTTGCATGATTAATCATATTTTCAAAATCAATGCCAACATTTCACAATTTCTGCCAGGGTATGCAAACTTTTTAGCACAACTGTACCTCAAGTCCTCGCTGCTATCTTCATCCTTCAGGTCCTCTTCAGCTCCTGATGCTTTAGTTGCCAGATTTTTCATCAGTGCTGTACTCTCACGCATGAACGAGAGTACACCTTTGAAGTTTCTGGAGGATCAGTAGACAATCTCAGAATCCCACAGCCATCACTTGAGGGCAGAGCTTCACCTTTTCTCAACCTCAGACTTGTTCATAAGTCAATGTATTCCCTACTTTGCCCCATCTCCCAGCTTAAGATGCCCCTTTTAAGGTGAACCCAAGAAAGTATAACATTTAAAAAAGTTTTTTTTGGATAGCGACGTCACTTTAATTGTAATTTTTATTTTTATAGAGCAAATATATGACATGTATAGTTAGTGTATAACTCAAACACTATCACTATAATGGAATAGTTGTGACACTGTATTTTTTTAGTATTTTTTATCACATTAATTTTGCATTATATATATTCATAATGCTTTTATAATAGATTAATTAAACACATTTTAGTTCACTTAGCACTAATCGTATTTAATGTCTCCCATGTTAAAATGAGTGTACATTGAAGTACTGTGGCATTGTGGTGGTCTTAATGCGATATTGCCCTATGGTGTAACTGAATCCCCAATTTTGTTTGCTGAGATGGGTGATTTTAGGAAGCCTTGTAAAATTGTAAACTATACTTTTACATGTGCGCTGTCCCTAATCTGTATTTTACATAAATTGTGGTCTCTACGGCAGCACCACAGCTGAGAAATGTATTTCTTTGGGCTTCAGTGTATTAAACAATGTATTTAAGGTGTTAAATTGATAATTAGAGATTCTGAGGCTTTAATTAACAATAAAGTTTTTCTTACAAAAGATTTTCTTTGCAATCAATATTTTAAGCTAAAGTCTCCATTTTTCTCAATGTAAATTTAAAATACAATTATCTGGGCATTATTTTTTGGATAGTGAAATCAACCTTAAAGGAACACTATGGCGTTAGGGATACAAGACAAACTAAAAGCATAAATAACAATGTTTTTCCAGTCTGGCTATTTTGACCTTAAATATGAAATTCTCAATTTAGAACCAAACATAGAATTATTTAGTATTTTACATTAATTTATTTTGTGCAAAACAATTTCTCTTTCTCTGCAAAATAAAAACATGTTTTCATATACATCTTAAAAAGAGATAATCCAGGGAGCCTTCTGGAAAATTAAAGTTGGTTAGTGCATGGCTGTTTATTTGAACTTTGTGTAAATTGGTCCTTAATCCCTTAAGACCGGAGGGCGTACTATTACGCCCTATTTTAGGCGGCTCTAAACGCTGCCGGGCGTAATAGTACGCCCTCCGGTTTTTCTATACTTACCCAGTCGCCGGCGATCACAGCCCCCGCGGCACGTCCGACCCCCTGGCAGCCCCCCCCCGGCCATGTGAGAGTGAGGTCCTTGCGAGGACCTCACAATCACATGGCCGGGATAGCTGGCTGCTGCATTGCCAGCAGGGGGACTGCCTGTAATAACAGGTAGTCCCCCTGCTGGCTGGAAATAAAATAAAATAAAATAAAAAAAGTGTAAAAAAAAAAGTATATATATATATGATCTAAGTATATATATATATACACATATACATACACACACATACACTGTCTCGGTGTATTTTACTATTAATATATATATATAATTATATATACATATTAATATCAAATTACACGTAGACTGATACTGATTAAATATATATATAATTATTGTTATATATATATTTCTATATAATATAAAAAAAATTAAATATATAAATACGTTGAAAATAATATTAAAAAAATAATTTTAAAAAATTATTTAAAAATATATAGATGTGTGTTATTTCATTCTAACTGTATTGTGATATTAATATATATATATATATATATATATTTATATCAAAATACACGTAGAACGAAATAATATATATATCTATATACATAAATATATATGTATATATCACTATATATATACCTATATAAAAAAAAAATATATATATATACATATATATACACATACATATATATATACATATATTAATTCTACATATATATTTGTATATATGTAATATTTTTACATAATTAGGTATCTTAATTAATTACAATTAGCGGGACCTGCCTGACAACCCATGCCGAAAGTAAAGGTAATTTAATTTGCTAGCACTATATTTAACCCTATAACTTTCCAAGACACCATAAAACCTGTACATGGGGGGTACTGTTCTACTCGGGAGACTTCGCTGAACACAAATATTAGTGTTTCAAAACAGTAAAATGTATTACAATGATGATATCGCCAGTAAAAGTGAAGTCTTTTGCATTTTTCACGCACAGACAGCACTTACACGGACGATATTATTGCTGCAATACTTTTTACTGTTTTGAAACACAAATATTTGTGTTCAGCAAAGTTTCCCAAGTACAACAATGCCCCTCATGTACAGGTTTTATGGTGTTTTCAAAAGTTACAGTGTCAAATATAAGGCTTGTGTTTCATTTTTTTTACATTAAAATTCGCCTAGGTTGCCTTTGAGACCCTATGGTAGCCCAAGAATGAAAATTACCCCTATGATGGCATACCATTTGCAACAGTAGACAACCCAAGGTATTGCAAACGGGGTATGTCCAGTCTTTTTTAGTAGCCACTTAGTCACAAACACTGGCCAAAACTGTCATTTTTTGCATTTTTCACACACAAACAAATACTAATGCTAACTTTGGCCAGTGTTTGTGACCAAATGGCTACTAAAAAAGACTGGACATACCCCATTTGCAATACCTTGGGTTGTCTACTATTGCAAATGGTATGCCATTATGGGTGTAAATTTCATTCCTGGGCTACTATACAGTCTCAAAGGTAACATAAACTATCTGGCGAATTTCAATTTCAAATGTAACGTGCTATATTGACCCTGTAACTTCCCAATACACCATAAAACCTGTACATAGGGGGTACTGTTTTACACGTGAGACTTTGCTGAATACAAATAGGTGTATTTTATTTCAGTAAACGCAAACAGTATTATGACATTGACAGTTAAAATGTCATGTAGAACTAAGAAAATAAAAAAAATCTTATTTTCTCCAATTTTTTTCACATTAATTTATGTTTCACAGCTAAATATTTGATATTAAATGAAAGCCCTGTTTCCCCTGAATAAAATGATATATAAAAAGGGTGGGTGCATTTAATATGAAAGAGGTGTATTACGGTTGGACAGACATGTAGCGCAAATGCCAGGTTTTGTTTACATTTTGTTTCATTCACAACGTGTACATTTGGCTCAGTCCTTAACCGGTTAAACTCTTGTTTCAGTTACTAGCTTCATTTTTACAATGAATACATAAGGATGCACCACATTACTTGCTCCTAAAATGTGTAGGCACTACAATTCAACAGTATTACCACAAAAAAGCTTCACCACATCGACAAAAAAATATATCAATGCTGATTTAAACATTAGAATCCCTTTTGGCAATAGCATTTCACAATAAAGTACAAATAAAGTTTGATAAAAGGCCAAAAATAAAACGAGCATTTACACTTTTAAAACTGATAATTTTAAGAATTAAATATCGTCGGGAAAAGACCATTAAATTATCACTCATAAAACGTTAACAACCTTCACTACGTTGAACCTTTTTGCAGAATTTAAAATCCGGGGTAAAGCACATATTTCAACAGAATACATGAAGCATTTTTTTATGATTTCCTGTTACAACCTTAAGGGGAAGTCCCACTGAAGTTACTATTAATGATACTTTGTTATAAACTGCATGGAGCAGTGTCACATATCTGTCAAAGCTGTGCCATTTCATAATCCACTGTGGTTTCAAACTGTGTAAACCGGTTATATGTTCATACCCCTAGTCATTTCCAAATTTGAAAATAAATCACCATGGCGATATAAAATAGCTCCGCTCTGCTAATATCAATTGTAGCCTTGTCATTTTAAATCTGTCCCACATAACCCAAATATCCACGGGTTCCCCATATTTTGCCATTCCGCCTGTGCATCACACATTTGCAAATACAGTTCTGGCCAGTATTTTACTAGCAAAGACTATTGACAAAAAATCTGTTGTTTTTTTTTTTATTGAATTTTAACTAATGATGGAATCAGAGTGATGGTTAAAGGTATACTCCAGGCACCCAGACCACTTCTGCTCATTGAAGTAGTCTGGGTGCCAACTCCCACTACCCTTAACCCTGCAAGTGTAATTATTGCAGTTTCCATAAACTGCAATATGTACATTGCAGGGTTAAGTCCTCCTATAGTGGCTGTCTACTAGACTAGAGGGACGTCCATGTTCATAGAACACGAAAAGTGTTTTCAGCGACGTTGGACATCCTCACGATATGTGAGGACCTCCTGTGTCACCGAAATCCCCATAGGAAAGCATTGTATAATGCTTTCCTATGGGAGGTCTAATGTGCGTGCACGGCCATTGCCTTTCATGCGCATTAGGTCTCCCCCGCCGGCTGATGTCGGGGGGGGAGGAAAATAGGCAGAGCCTGACCCAGTGCAGACGGACATCGGCGCTGGACTCCAGTAAGTCACTGAAGGGGATTTAACCCCTTCAGCAATTTGGGTGAGGGGGGTGGGAGGGAGAGGGGCACTAGAGGGTCCTACAGTGCCAGGAAAACAAATATGTTTTCCTGGCACTGGAAAATCCCTTTAACTTTTAGCTGTTGCTGCTTTTATTTCCCATGATGCAACAGCCAGAACGCCAGCAATAACCGGGACTGTCCTAGGAATTGGGTTATGGTTAAACAAGTTCATAGTAATCTTACATAAAGCAATCATTTTTAAAATGTCATTCAAATTTGGCTATCCCAATGCACAAGTCAATTTTCTTTGCTATAACTTGATACCAGGTCACATTTGCATGCAAGTGCATTCCATGGAAAAGGGAAGCATATTTTCTCTTTCAGCTTGATAAATAACCGTATGAAGTTGTGTCACCTTTTTTGGCCAACATGGGTTTTTGAAGAAGTTGATTGTGACACTTGCTAAATGTGAGACAGACAGATTCTACTCATTTATTTTAAAGGGACACTATAGTCACCAGAACAACTACAGCTTAATTAATTTGTTCTGGTGAGTAGAATCATTCCCTTCAGGCTTTTTGCTGTAAACACTGTCTTTTCAGAGAAAATGCAGTGTTTACATTACAGCCTAGTGATAACTTCACTGGCCACTCCTCAGATGGCTGTTAGAGATCTTTCCTGGGTCATGGCTGCCTAAAATGCATCCAGACATTCAGTGTATCCTCCCACTGCATGCAGACACTGAACTTTCCTCATAGAGATCCATTGATTCGATTCATCTCTATGAGGAGATGCTGATTGGCCAGGGCTATGTTTGAATCATGCTGGCTCTGCCCTGATCTGCCTCCTTGTCAGTCTCAGCCAATCCTATGGGGAAGCATTGTGATTGGATCAGGCTACCACTTCTGCTGATGTCAGCGGGCAGTGGGCAGGTCTAAAGGAAACAGTGGCAATGCAAGCAGCTCCAGACTTGAATACAAGTAAGATTTTACTATATTTAGGGAGGTATCAGGGGGCCTAGATGGTGGTTTTAATCCTATAGGATCAGGAATACATGTTTGTTTTCCTGACCCTATAGTGATCCTTTAAGCTAAATGCAAGTGTGCACTTAGGAATTACCTGCTAGATATACATATTTTACTTCTAATAATGCTGATTAAATGTTACAATATTAGCACTAGATATAGCCTTCTAAGGCAAAGAAAATAAATTGTCAGATGGCAAAGCCTTTTTCAAACAGACACTATAAGCACCAAACAACCTTAGAATAAGGAGTGGTTTCGTGTGTGTTGACCATGCCCCTGTACTTTAACTGTTCAGATCTCTGTCATTTATGAGTTAAATGACTTTATTTATGCAGACCTAGTCACACCCCCTGGTGTGTTGCAACAGAAAACCCTGAACAGTACTAAAAGTGATATTTCCACCATCTCCCTCCCCCATACCATAGACACAGCCCATCAGAGCACCCAGAATGCCTGCCGGCTACAAAGGCACCCTTGTAGAGATCACGTAGAGAGTGAAAAGTTCAAGCCAGCCAAATGGAACTGTATATCAGATCGTAACTCAGCCACGACTGGCAAAACCTTCAAACAAGTGATGTTTAAACACCATATGGACAATCAAGGTGTTGTTGAGACAGAGGGTGGCTGAGGGCATGAGCTATCTGGGAATACCATGGAGTATGGGGACAATATGTTCTGGTGGAGTCAGGAGCCCCGTTCTCCCAGTGCCCAATGAAAGGGTTTCAACAGGTGGGAGACACATATATGGAGAATTTCTTATCTTCTGCTTTGTTAATAGCCTGCAGGAGCCTCCTGTGTGTGTGATTAAAGTTCAACAGACCGGGAATAAAAACCTCTAAAGTAAAATACCCTGTGCTGTCACATCGTATTGAAAATGTAACCTTATTTTCATTTAGTCAATGCATCAAATAACTATAGTGCTTTTTAATAACCCTAATTGGTGTTAGATATTTAGATCTTTGTTTTTATGACATTTTAGCAGTCTATAATGGTTTAACATTTTAGTGTTAAACTAGCAACAGTGTACAGGGAGTGCAGAATTATTAGGCAAATGAGTATTTTGACCACATCATCCTCTTTATGCATGTTGTCTTACTCCAAGCTGTATAGGCTCGAAAGCCTACTACCAATTAAGCATATTAGGTGATGTGCATCTCTGTAATGAGAAGGGGTGTGGTCTAATGACATCAACACCCTATATCAGCTGTGCATAATTATTAGGCAACTTCCTTTCCTTTGGCAAAATGGGTCAAAAGAAGGACTTGACAGGCTCAGAAAAGTCAAAAATAGTGAGATATCTTGCAGAGGGATGCAGCACTCTTAAAATTGCAAAGCTTCTGAAGCGTGATCATCGAACAATCAAGCGTTTCATTCAAAATAGTCAACAGGGTCGCAAGAAGCGTGTGGAAAAACCAAGGCGCAAAATAACTGCCCATGAACTGAGAAAAGTCAAGCGTGCAGCTGCCACGATGCCACTTGCCACCAGTTTGGCCATATTTCAGAGCTGCAACATCACTGGAGTGCCCAAAAGCACAAGGTGTGCAATACTCAGAGACATGGACAAGGTAAGAAAGGCTGAAAGACGACCACCACTGAACAAGACACACAAGCTGAAACGTCAAGACTGGGCCAAGAAATATCTCAAGACTGATTTTTCTAAGGTTTTATGGACTGATGAAATGAGAGTGAGTCTTGATGGGCCAGATGGATGGGCCCGTGGCTGGATTGGTAAAGGGCAGAGAGCTCCAGTCCGACTCAGACGCCAGCAAGGTGGAGGTGGAGTACTGGTTTGGGCTGGTATCATCAAAGATGAGCTTGTGGGGCCTTTTCGGGTTGAGGATGGAGTCAAGCTCAACTCCCAGTCCTACTGCCAGTTCCTGGAAGACACCTTCTTCAAGCAGTGGTACAGGAAGAAGTCTGCATCCTTCAAGAAAAACATGATTTTCATGCAGGACAATGCTCCATCACACGCGTCCAAGTACTCCACAGCGTGGCTGGCAAGAAAGGGTATAAAAGAAGAAAATCTAATGACATGGCCTCCTTGTTCACCTGATCTGAACCCCATTGAGAACCTGTGGTCCATCATCAAATGTGAGATTTACAAGGAGGGAAAACAGTACACCTCTCTGAACAGTGTCTGGGAGGCTGTGGTTGCTGCTGCACGCAATGTTGATGGTGAACAGATCAAAACACTGACAGAATCCATGGATGGCAGGCTTTTGAGTGTCCTTGCAATGAAAGGTGGCTATATTGGTCACTGATTTGTTTTGGTTTTGTTTTTGAATGTCAGAAATGTATATTTGTGAATGTTGAGATGTTATATTGGTTTCACTGGTAATAATAAATATTGAAATGGGTATATATTTGTTTTTTGTTAAGTTGCCTAATAATTATGCACAGTAATAGTCACCTGCACACACAGATATCCCCCTAACATAGCTATAACTAAAAACAAACTAAAAACTACTTCCAAAAATATTCAGCTTTGATATTAATGAGTTTTTTGGGTTCATTGAGAACATGGTTGTTGTTCAATAATAAAATTAATCCTCAAAAATACAACTTGCCTAATAATTCTGCACTCCCTGTATATTCTTGTATACATTTTATTTCCATTTACTGCAGACTGCAAGTTGCAATGAAAATACTTTATTAATTGTAATTGACAATCAGACTTCCACTACAAACCCTTATTATTGAGATTGACCAACTGAGGAACAAGAGATGGCACCAAAATTGCATCTTAAATGGTGATTGAGAGAGAAGACAGAAATCATCTGAGGAAGCCCCGGACAGGGCAAAATTCATGTGATTGGGGTCCCATGTGTAGCACTGAGCCAAGGGCTGCGACTGAAGGATATCCTGGAGAGAAAAACAGGACTTTTAAATGTAAAGCATTGAAGTGATAACTGGCACATGAAGTAAGCTTTAAGGACTCTGCTTTTATTTTTGTAAATCATCGAATATTAGTGAGTGGACACAAATACATATGCTTCCCATGAGTATTGAGAGTGTCACCAATATGTACACATATCACCTTTGTTTGGGTCGGCATTTAAATGCTCCATAATATGTGAGTTTGTTTTCTTATCTATATTTGCAATATTTTTGAAAAGTTTATCTACATTAGAAACTGTTCTTTTCATGCTTCCTCTTTTCTTTGAAAAAGTGCAAAAGACTGAGAGTCCAGAGAGCACTCGGATGTGTGAGTAGGTTGTCGACTATCCCCCTGTATGCAGTGTATCAGCAGTTTAACACTATAAGTTTTTTGTTTTTTTCTAAAAGTATACAATCTGAGATATCGATTTGTATGAGGGGTGGTATTTATTTACACATATATTTCCACCTTTGAAGGTTATTCAAAAACACTACACTTGTTTGTTGAATTCTCACAGAATTCAAGCAGTTTTGAAAGAAAGAAATGTACCATATTTTTACATGTATAAGACTATTTTTTTCTCTAAAATTGGGGGTCGTCTTATATACGGAAAGTCACCACAGGGGTTAAAAAAACACTTGTATTCGGAGCCCGACAGCCAACCAAGTCAGTCGCATGTGGCAGGAGCTCCTTCAAAAATCATATTATTAAGCCAAATACTTAAGGTACTTACTACGCAATTTGGGCACAAAACTTGACTACTCGCTGACAGAATACTCAGCTGACTGTTGGGTTCACTACTGCCAGGTTCCTGCGGGCATAGGCTGTGTTGTACACCTTTGCAGTCTGCTGACATACTTGAAGCAGAGGAAGCGCTTCTTCTTGAATTTGATCGATTGTGTGCGCAGGTCTGGGAGATCTTACACAACAGCATGCTTTCTCACATCACTCTTGGTCACGCCAAGACCTCACAGCTCCTGACTACAGTTATATACCGCATGGTAAGGGCCTTGCCAGGGCATAACCCTTTGGTTACTGCTGCTGCCAAAAGCAGAGTGGTGGTCTAGGGAAACAGTGTCCAGACTGGATCTTGGGGAGCTGCCTACCGGAGTGTGAGTGGGAGAAGGAACCAGTGGGGACTTCAGTGATATAGATGTTTAAAATATGTATTTCTTAATTTTGGGCTAACAAAATAGGGGTCATCTTATATATGGGGGCATTTTATACACAGAAATACAAGGTATTTTCAAACCTTTATGGTCGCCACTCTCTGTGTGTAAATTGCTGCCAGAACTCCCTAAATGAATAAGATAAATCATGCCAACGTTTCTGGGAACTAAATGACCCTTTCTGAAATCAAGCCCAGAAATGGATACACTCAAATTTTTTTTTGTTATACCTTGTTGAATAAAGCAATTTGCATCTAGACACATCGCATGAAGTCACAACACTTTTGTCTCTTGGCAGGATACTACTGGAATCTAAAAACATTTCTAAAAAGAGTATTTACACCCAAAATCAATCTGTTTTAACCCAAATTCAAAGCATCCCCACTTGTATTTTTTATTGAAAATACATTGAAATCCGTTTTAATAAAAAATGTAAAAAAAATGATTAGCAATATTTTCAGATGCATATTACAAAGGCAACAAGTTGTACAAAGGGGGAAAACATCTGTGCCAAATTTGTTGAGTTACAGTGTAATTAGCAGTTGCACAAGGGAGGTGTACAGATTATCTCCGTAAACATTGTTACATTGCATCATAAAACATAGTAAATTGCGATAGGTACACTGATACTTTTTGCATCTGTTTTCCAAATGAGGACTGGAAGTAATAACATGGGGTTAACCAAACAAGGTAGGCAAAGGGGTAATGGGGGGTACAGGAGAGGATGTCCACTAACTGTCACAGGTGTGTTTCCTATGGTGTTTTAGTTAATGTACAGTAGTTTATTCGTTGGTTAGCCTGTCGTGTCTTCCCATTTCCTTTAGAAGTCTGGGGGTCAGTACCACAGTTTCCTTGCAACCTGGGCAATCTAGGACCACATCACTGCTAGCTTGCAGATGGGCACTTTAAATAAGAAACAGGAGTTGGGGGGTAATTATCGGATCTAGTCGGCTTGGGCCAGTCTAGCAGTTTTGTATTGTGTGGCTTTGGTGGTTTAAAGGGCTACACGTGGGCTGCGTCAGTCAGGACCGGTGTGGCCATCTGAGGTGGGAGGGTGGGCATAGATACTCTAGGTGTGTGTCCCTGATTGATAGGGAAGAACCCCATTTTCAGTTCGTCAGTCAGGACCCGTCTCATAGGAATTAATTTGGTCATACCAGTTCGCCCAGTCAAGAATAGCTCATTTATAGTTGGCAACTCACATTCATGACCATATTCATGACAGTATTCCAACCCCACTAATCCAATAGACACAGTGGTTGAATGGGTGCAGCTGCCGGACTCGGCCAGTATATAGTGCGATGTTTGACATTATGTTGGCTGTATCTCATGTACCAGTGAGTAGCTATCTTGAAATGGGATACACTGGGAGTCCCAAAGATCCCAAGCCACTTTCCAAAATCTTTTGGGCAGTTTGGCTGTCCTTGCCATGATTTCATAAGGCTTGGTGGTATTGACATTATGTGTGCACATTGAGATGCTGGGGGTATTGGTTGTTAACAAGGGTTTGCTGATGGTGGTAAGGGCTGCTTTAAGAATGTGGTTAATCAGGTATTGTTTGTGTTTTGGTATATCCCCTGGGATGAGTTGTAATATATATATATTTCTGGGTCTTTTGCTAGGTTCACCTGTGTAGAGTTGGAAATTAGCGTTGCAAGCTTGTCCCAAAATGGTATGAGCGTACAACACATCCACCATATATGATTTTGGTATATCCCCTGGGATGAGTTGTAATATATATATATTTCTGGGTCTTTTGCTAGGTTCACCTGTGTAGAGTTGGAAATTAGCGTTGCAAGCTTGTCCCAAAATGGTATGAGCGTACAACACATCCACCATATATGATACATTGTTCCAGGGTGCGCCTGGAAAGGTCTTGCCCACCCATTTTCTATATGTGGCTTCTATTTGAAGCCAGGCTGGTTGGATTTTATGGTGGTGGGCCATACTCAATGGGTTGATTTGGGACGCTGTATAATACGTGGTTAGATTGGGTACACTTAGTCTACCTAGCCTGACAGGTCTATATATTGTGGAAGCTGCTACCCTGGGTCGTTTATTAACCCAGATTTAGTTATTGAGCATTTTTTGTGTGCCCTTCAAGTGTTGTGATAGGAGTTTGATAAGCAACGTATGGAACAGATATTGAAGTTTAGGGAGAAGGATAATTTTTACGGCTGCTAGGCTGCCCATCCAGGACACATATTTGCCTTTCCAGCTTAAGATTTGGTGTTTTATATTTTTGGATAATTTGGCATAGTTTCCTTTGAATAGGTTGTACTGGTTGGTTGGGAATTCTATGCCCAGGAAGGTGAGACTCTCATGTCCCCATCCGTATGCATATTCGGTTTTCAACCTATTCAGTGATGCGGTGTTCAAATGAATGTACATTGCCTACGTCTTTGTGACTTTTAATCTGTAGTATGAGCAGACGCTATGTCTCATTAAGATGTCGCTGAAATATGGTAAAGAGGTTTCAGGGGTCATAAAGGACAGCATGATGTCATCAGCAAACATCGTAAGTTTATATGTAATTTCGCCTATGGTAATGCCCTTTAAGTTCGGATCCTCTCGTATGAGGTATGCGAGGGGTTCAAAAGCTGAAATGTATAACATTTGTAATTTGGAACTCAGAGGATAGAAATCCACTGTTCACTGGCGGGTTCGAGTAGAGCGCTGACTCTAATTACATAAAGTTTGGTGAGAAGTGGAATTTTTCTACTACAGCCCTGAGGAAGCGCCAGTGCAGTCGATCTAAGGTTTTTAACATTTTAAAATAAAGACACTCTTGTCTTCTTTTTGTTAGTGTGCCATAAAATGCAAACCGGATATATACAGACAATTGCTCCCTCACAATGTGAGAAACCACCGGAGTCAAAACTAGTGAGATATAAGTCAAAATGAAATTCATCTTTGCTCAGTATTACTCTTTCAGAAATTTTAGTTGCATAAAGCATGGGAGCTGGTTATTCTTGAATGCTTAACAAGTGATGATTAACCACAATAACCGCTGTGAATCTATCACAGCACCAAACTTTCACAGCCTGAGGCATCATCAGTGAACACTGGGCATGCGCCTAGGGGTGACGGTGAATACTCATTATGACAATGCGAGCAGGATTGTTTTTGGTCAGGTAATCACTGCTCGCGGACTGTGATCCCATAAAACATTTGCGCTCAAAGGAAACAAATGGGTTTCCACACATGGAAAAAAACCTCACAATAAAAGGACATTATAACACATCAGGAAAAAAGGGGCAAGAGCAACATTTAGTGGGACAAAGCTTCCCATCAGAGGGAGAAAATCCTCTGTAGCAGTTTTCTGTTCACTAAAACCCAGACATTTAACAAAGTACATACTATTTTGTGACAGAGTGGAACATCATGATGGATAGATTCAATATAGGGTTTGTTGAACTTCTTAAAATAAATTGTGTGAGGGGCAAATAAGGCCGTGTAGGAAAGGGGTAAGTCGGTTGTGGTGTGCCAGAACTGACGTCGTGGTAGGCCTGTAATAAAAGAGGGCCCACCCATGAGGTGTAATGAAAAGTATAAATTAGAGGGAGTGGAGGGTGGGGACATGCGAATCGCTAAAAAATACGTACGGGACGGAGGAAGGTGAGTAGGGGGTTTAAGTAGGGAACATGCCCCTCCCACAACTAAAGGCCAAGCCTTTACATTTAATGAATGCAGCAAGGAAATTGTCAAGATCGATGAGATTCTCTACACATCGATAATTTGTCAAGGTTGACATGAATAGTTCATTTTCAATGTCAAGAGCTACTAGGCATCATTAATCACTCATTCTTGCTCATCAAATGTAACTATGTTAGTGAAATAAACTGCAGGAATCATATGAGGAAGATAAAAGGGACTTCATGGCTGAAGGAAATAAATATACTAAGATAACTACTAGACCATACAATAAATACAAGGGATACAAAAAAAGAAAGATTTATTGAAATACAAACAACATTATTCACTAAAGTGAGTATTGCAGAAAATTCCAAGTTAATTTAAAAAGCAAGGCCATAATAGCCATAATAGTCATTTGTGAATTTTGCCAAAAGAAGAAGAAAATAAAAAAAAATAACACATTTATTAAAATATCCAAAATAAAAAGAAATCAGAGGCAAGGCTGGTAAGCCATTCACCATCATCATATTGTGAGGTTTTTACTGCAACGTAGCCCTCTCAAAGTTCTCATGAGTTTTCAGCATCTCTTCGTTGCTGTGCTATATAGTTCTGTTATCGATACAGTTACCTCCACCCATAAAAGTGCTAGCCTCCACTGGACCATCTTACTATCAGGAAGAGAAACCTTCAGTTAAACACCACAAACAAGGTACAATTAAACTGAAAAAAAAATGACTCACTTCCATGTGTAAATTGGGTTTTTTGATTTGATCATTTGATCATCCATTCAGCAATGCTCAAATTGCATTTCTAAACACCAAGAAATCTAATTGATGAAAACTATTTCACTAAAACACATCGGTTTTGAACTCCTGTAATCTGACCTGCATGCATGCTTTCTTATCTGTTATCTACAATGCCGCCTGAAGTGCAAAATCTCACACCTCACTCTGGCCTTAATTCTATAGAACAGAGCAATGTAACCAGCTCCCACTGCTAATATACCTACAAGAACTAGAAGTTTTTTTAACTCCTTCACTGCTGAGGGAATGACCAACCATACTCCCTCATTTCTGTATTCCCTAAGACCCCAAAAAGCGGTCGCTGCACTCAGCCCCCCCTCTAGTGGTTACCCTAAAATAACTTGGCATCTTCAAAGGGACTGACAGGGGCTGTAGTGGAGGAAAATCAAAACTTAAAGTTCAATCTCCTGACACTATCACAGCTGCTCCACCACCCTGTCTACCTGCAAGATTAATTGGAGTGATTCAACCTAGAAGCCACAAAAGATGCACTATCAAATCAAGGAAACCTCACTGTGTGATCCCCATTAGAAGACACGCTGTTTCCAAAGTACAGAACAAAAACTCAGAATACCAAGATTGTCCTATTAGATCAATCCTGTGCAATGCCAGATTAATAAGGAACAAAACAGCTATTATTGCTGACATTATTGAAACATGCAAATTTGCGTGCATTACATAATCATAGCTAGATGAAAATGTGGGGCAGATATTCCAGGCAATTACACGGTGTTCCACTGCCCGAGACAAGATCGCAAGGGAGGTGTAGTTATGATCTGTGCGAAATCATCCTTAAATCCCAGACCAATATCAGTCTACAAACCCCAATCTTTTGAATGCAGAGCTGCTAGCCTCTCAATATATAGAGGATTCCAGATACTGTTAATATATAGACCCCCAGGAGATGGGAAGAGATTTCTTCAGGAACTCTCAGACCTTTTGGCTGGCTTTATGTCACGGGTGGCAGTACGGACACAGGGACCCCTGCGTGCCTGATGATGATCGGAGTCAACCTCTTGGAAATGAAACAATCAGAGCCTAGTGCAGGCTAACCACACGCCCCCTGGTGTTGAGCACCAGGATTTGTGTGGCCACATACCAGGGCCCTGATGCAACTTCTGCAGATCCCAGGAACTAGGAGAAAATATGCAGACCTCCCTGTTCTGGATAGGGAGGCTCTGCAGCAGGTATGTATCCAGTACTATAAACAAGGCAAGACTAGAACAGGCACCAAACAAGAAAACAAAACAAAACTTGTAGAACCCAGAACCAGAGAAGGATAGAAAGCAAAACCCAGAACATGTACACAAAACATGAGGGAAACAAGAACAGGGCAGGACAGGAATGTACATGGACTGAGAATACAAAATAAAACAAGACCAGATATATACATCACAACAAGAGGAGACATAACTATGTATTATGTGCAATAAACATTGGAGATTTAGACATACATAAATGGCATAGATGTATGCAGCCCACCACTGCGCCAAAGTACTCCAATTACGGTGGGTCCTATCTACCTAGATATGCATGACCAAAAAAACAATAATAAAACACACACAGGACTTACCTGCAAGAAAGGGGCAGATGACTTGGAGCAACTGCCTGCAGGAACCAACTGAAACAAAAGGATTAATGGAAAAGGAACAGGTGTGGCAATGTAAAACAAACATATAAAGGAATCCAAGAGACTGGGAATTCCAGGAACGGAATACAGGAATGAACCCATAAAACCCAGCATAAAGAAAACCAGACATGGAATAGAAGGCCAGAAAAAAAACAAGAAAAACTAAACAAGAATTGTAAAAAGAGTACCAGATACCAGAAGCTATAGCCAGAAATGATCCGCAGCAAGAACAGGACGTGACACTTAATCCTTGAGCACCCAAGATTGCTTATACTGGGAGACTTCAACACTTGGATTGATGACACCCTATCCCTGCTTGGGCAGGATCTCCTCAGCTTGATGAGTGCACTCGGCTTCACTAAAATCGTCGTCACTTCCACCAACAGAAAAGGTCATACACTTGATCTAGTGTTCCAGTCTGGACTAGAAGTGTCCCCAGTAACTGTAAATTCAGTTGTTTGGTCAGACCACCACTCCATTCACTTCTCCATTGTATCACAATCAGCCAGATGCCAGCCTCAGAACCTGTTCAAACACCACTCATTAAAAGGGGTGTCGCCATTGGATGTAACATCACATATGGATCTAAGTGAACTAATGGGCACCTGTGAAGACCCCAGCTCCTTAGTCTGACTACAACAAAACCACGAGAGGCACCCATTGCACCAACATGCATACACACTGTCAAAACCCACAACAATGCACCGTGGTTTAATAGCACCATCAGAGAAATTAAGAGAACAGGCCGTAAACTCGAGAGAAAGAGGCACAGAACACATGATCCAGAGGATAAAACCGCTCTTACCAAACATCTAAATTAATATCAATTCAAGATAACTCAGAAAAAAATATTCATTTTTATCACGTGAAATTGCACTCTCCCATAATAGACTCAGGCAACTGTTTTGCACAGTAGAAAGGCTCTGCAAACCATCATGCATGCATATCCCCACCAACCTTTCTCAGGATGGTCTGTGAAGCATTTGCAATCTTCTTCAGAGACAAGATTTTCTCAATCCGTGCCTTTATCACAGCAGGCCAAACAGTTGCACACCAGAACCACTACAATGGAATGCCAGATTTCCCCAGTTTATGGTCCACTATGTGTGACTTAGACCCTGCTCCAACTCGGGATATATCTGCATGCATTGAAACACTTACCCCAGCCCTCACAAAAATAGTGCAGTGTTCACTAAAAACAGGAGACTTCCCAGATCCTCTAAAATGAGCTGTGGTAAAACTACTTCTAAAGAAACCTTTATTAGACCCAGACTGCATGGCTAATTACAGACCAGTATCCAACCTTCCATTTCTGGAGAAATTAATTGAAAAAGTAGTGGCAACTCAACTGGAGGCCCATTAATCCATGCATTTGTATCCTCTAAGCTAGATTACTGCAATGTACGTTACTTGGGCCTTCCAGAAAAAGAACTCCATCGCCTTCAGACTGTAAAAAATGCAGCAGCCAGGTTACTGACCAATCGAACTCGCTCCTGCCACATAACACCTGTTCTCCACTCCTTACATTGGCTGCCAATTAAATGGTGAACATATTTCAAAATTGGCCAGCTAACCTTCAGAGCCTTAAACAATCAAGGCCCACAGTACCTGAAAGAGCTCTAGACACCCTACATTCCATTCCGTTCACTTCGGTCAGCCAACAAATCCTTCCTGCCAGTGCCAAGAATAAAGACAGACTCCGGTTCCAGGGCATTCAGCCACGCTGCCCCAACCTTCTGGAACTCTTTACCATGCGCTATCAGAGAAGCACCGTCCTTACAGACTTTTTTAAAAGAGCTAAAGACCCACCTCTTTCATCAGGCATTCAGTCCACTCCTCTGACCATCAGAAACTCCTAACTTTTATGTCTTTATGTTTGTATACTTGTAAAGTGCTTTGAGTCTCACAGGGAGAAAAGCGCTATAAAAATCGTAAAAGATTTTAATGACAAGCTTTTGGGAGAACCTCCCTTTCTCAAGTCTGAAGCATTTCTGAGCAAGAAGACACAAAGAATTCAAAATTGAGTTGTGATACAGGGGTTAAAGCGACAGGAGTGCAGATAAGACACAGGTTTGTTAGAAAATAGACACCATTCTTGCAGAGGGTCATACATATCTTTCTGAAGAGCAGAGTGAGGGGGGAGAGGGAGAAAAAAAAACAAGCAGACAGTGCAGAGGATGGTACACTTTATACATACACACACATAAATATGTATATGCAAATGCAAAAACATATGAACACATATACATACATACATACACATGAACTCATATACACAAATATAAATGCACAGTCATATATTATTATTATTATTATTTTATTATTTATATAGCGCCATCAGACTCTGCAGTGCTGTACAATGGGTGGACTAACAGACATGTAATTGTAACCAGACAACTCGACGTACAGGAACAGAGAGGTGGAGGGTCCTGCTCAATGAGCTTACATTCTAGAGGGAGTGGGGTATAGTGACACAAAGGGTAAAAGTAGGGGTACGAAGTAAGATGCTAGAAAAGTATTTGCTGAGGGCTTAATAGGTAATTGTTGACAGGTGCAGGAGAGGAGTCATGGATGGTGGGGGATGAAAACCTGCTTACAGTTTAATTGATATGCTTTCTTGAAGAAGTGAGTTTTCAATGATTTTTTGAATGAGTGGAGACTGGGTGAAATTCTTACGGAGAAGGGAAGGGAGTTCCACAGAAGAGGTGCAGCCCTGGAAAAGTCTTGGAGGAGAGCATCAGAGGTGGGAGTACGGACAGAGGATAGACATAGGTCTTTGGCAGAGCGTAAGGGCCTTGACGGGACATACTTGTGTATTAGGGAATATATGTAAGCATACATGCATAAGAGTATGGGAAAGCATAGGTCTACACACAGTACTTTGTATATTGATAGAATAAACATATTGGAATGCGTTTTACAGTGTTGATACATATGACAGAACAATAAGATAATGTTGGAGGAGTGTTCATGTAAAGTGTTGGTAGTGGGACAGGAAACCCAAATAAATATTTAGTCCTCTATTCTTGCTGTTAAATAATTTGATCATTCTGGCTTCAAAAGTGTTTCTTTCCTGGGTATTTTTAAAACTCCCTTTCAGAACTTTGATTTTTAGGTCCTTCATTGAGTGGCCAGGCTGGGTAAAGTGGTGTCCCACAGGGGTGCAGTAGGATTCTTCGTTGTGGTGTTTAATAGAGTGTCTGTGCATGTTCATTCTGCCATTTAATTGCTGGGTGGTTTCCCCAATGTAGCATCCTAGGTGGCGTTTGGTGCCTTGAATCATGTATACCACATTGCTGGATGTGCAGAAGTATGAACCTTTAATGCTGCAGGTTTTATTGTTGTGTATGGCTGTGTTGCGGTGCATATGTGCTGATACAGTTTGCAGCGAGGTTTTTTGCATTGACTGGTCCCGTTTTCTTTATTCTTACCATCAGTGGGTAGCTTCCTGTTGGTTTGTTTTTGTTGGAGGTTTGGTGGTTGTCTGAAGGCCAAAATGGGTGTTTCGGAGAAAATGTTTTTTCTAAAACAATGTGAGACAGCGAGATTTTTATTTTTTTCAAACATACCAATAATTAGGCAAAATTATCTGGTTCTTACTCAGATGTCCTTACAGAATTCAGTATAAAATAATCAACATTGTTACACCGTGTCCCTGACATTTGTCTTTAAATGAAAAATTGAGAGAGAATAAAAATATAAGATTTAATTGGTGATGTCTGCTTCTAATTTACTGTAAATGTGAGATAAAATAGCTTTACGAATAACTGTAATTACATTAAAAATATATATTTCCGCAATGTGTAACATTTACATGAAATTGAGGTTACGTATATTCATGTTCACGTACAGCAGTTCCATCTGTCACAAATGCTGTGGTTACATGTTTTTACATTAATTGAAAATGTATGTCTAGATGATTATGCTGTTTGTTTGTTTGTTTGTTTGTTTGTTTGTTTTATCATAAATGGGGGACAATTATTTATCTGGAAAAATACTGAATCACTGAATAAAACATTAAACATCATCCATAATTGGTGTCAATGTTTTTCCATATTATACACTTTATTTCTGTTTAAATTTATATCAATGATTTAGAAAATGAGTTCAAAATCTGAATGAGTCCTGGGACGGCAAGTAAGAAACACAAACAGAAACATAGATAATTGACAGGTGCAAGGTCAGAGCTTATAACAATGATTGATGGAGATAAGATGGTGGTGCTCAGTTCCATCGAAACACATCACTTGGAGAAAAGTCAATGACCTATACAGATCGTGTAGATTGGATTAGCCATATTAGTCCAGTCTGGCTAATCCAATCTACAAGATGCCAACATACCAGATTGTTGCAGGTTGTAATGATATCTTTCTTGTTGGATTAATATAATATTTAAAGGATCACTATAAGGTCAAGTGCACAAACATATATTCCTGACCAAGTGGTGTTAAAACCACCATCTAGCCTCCATCCTCCTCCCCCAATTCCCTTGCCTTCCTACATATAGTAAAATCTTACTTGTATTCAAGTCTGCAGCTCCTGCCTCTGCCCCTATCAGTGGTCGTCTGAGCCAATCACAATGCTTCCCCATAGGATTGGCAGAGACTGTCAAGGAGGCACATCAGGGACAGAGCCAGCACAAGTCAAACACAGTCCTGGCCAATCAGCACCTCCTCATAGAGATGCATTGAGTCAATGCATCTCATTGTGGAAAGTTCAGTGTCTCCATGCACAGTGGTGCTACACACTGTGCAGTACTGTCCCAGGAAGCAACTCTAGTAGCCATCTGAGGAGTGGCCAGTGGAGTTATCACTAGGCTGTAATGTAAACACTGCATTTTCTCTGAAAAGACCGTGTTTACAGCAAAAAGGCTGAAGGAAATTATTTTTCTCACCAGAAGAAATACAATAAGCTGTAGTTGTTCTGGTGACTATAGTGTCCCTTTAAAAGGCAAGCTTTCAAAAGATGTCCTCTCTTTCTTAGGTCTGTAGCAATACTGATCAATATGACAAAGTTTAACGCTTAAAACCACTAATGTTGGGTGGTGAGGGAGTGGGGTTTTATATATAGCAGAAGATGGGCTCGAAAGTAAAATGCGTGGTTGAGAATAGCCAGAACAAGTAAATAAACCGAGAAAGGGACAACTACACACATTCAATTGCAGTGATTAACAAAAATAATTTTACAGGAACATATTGTGATTATAGATGTGTTTTGTACCAGTTTTAGATTGATTTGTTTAGCAGTGATCTAAAAGCTCAGGGGTTAGAATCATGATCTGTGATTATATAGCTCCTCGTAGGATTCTAACCCCACCTCATCGTGGGTAATATGGACAACATCCTTTTTAATTCTACAAGAGTATATTTCTTAGTGAACTTGCTGTGTTGAGATAATACCCTCCTTTACACTCAATAACCACAGATGTATGATAGAACTTCACAATTATATTAGAAAGAAAAATGTATTCAATAATAATGTAAATTAGTTATTGTACAGTGTCTGGATGTGTATTGAGAGTCGAGCCGAATTTTACTTGCGCGACAAGCTTATTAAAATATATGTAACTATTTGACTTAGCATTTAAAGACTTAAAAAGGCAATTGAATAAAATGGTTTCTTAGTCCTTTATGAAATCAAATTTAAATAGAATATGAGAAGTGCCTACCTTACAAAGAGTACAATGAAGAATTCAAACTAATTATACTAAATCTTTTCTGCATAATCAAATAAATACTTAAATAAAGACAGTTTTAAAACTCTGCACACAAATGCTGGCATTGCCTATTTAAAGCATAGCACACAATGAACTTCTCTGTACAGACTTTTAAGTCAATTCTTAGCATAAGATAACACTTTAGGACATTCTGCATTAAGATCCCAAAACCCAGATCTGTACAGCTCAATCCAGATCAATAGAGTGTTGCTTGTTCTCTGATCTATCCTTAGCCATTGCTAACAAACTATATGGTGAAGCATGGTGGTGGTAGCATGGTTGTATGGATGCTCTTCATTGACAGGAATTGAGAAACTGTCAAAGACTGAGAGCAAGTTGGATGGACCAACTACAAGAGCTGTTGCAGGACAGCCTACACTAGGATAGTCTATACCGGTGTCAAAGTCCACCCACCAAGACCCTAGACAGATAAATGTCTCTCCTAGAACAGCCGAGTTAAAGATTGGAGTTTAATCAGAGAATCTAGGGAAACATATGAAAATTTCTGTTCCCTAAGGGCGCCATCAAATTTGACAGAATTTCAAAACTATTGCCAAAAATAATGCTCAAAAGTCACAGGTTCCAGGAAGTGAACACAAAAAAGATATGTATTTTGTTTAATTAATATCTGTGTCACAATTAAATGTATTCAGCTCTTTTTTTGTGACACCACAAAATGTTGAAATATCCTTGGGAAAGGTGTGTTCTTTTCAAATAATTTTTATTAAAGTTTTTAAAATTTTTGTATAACAAATGATAGTAATAATACAAACATTGTATTAGGGGTAGGAAAAGAAGGGTAACTTGGAAATGGGAAGGGGTATCTATCCATCATTGAAATAAACATAATAAAGTATATGGCAAAAAAAAATGTTATACATCAATGCACTTTAACAATAAATATATCAAAGACCATAAACTCTTTTGATTTTTTCTTCCCATTTGTCCCAATTATATTTTAATATTGGGAAACCATGCATATTGGCTCTGTGTGATAATTCATGTGCCTTGTTTTCTAGAATCAAATTAAAAACTTCTCTGAGAGATGGCACATTTTGGGACTTCCAATGTCTAGGTAAACAGGATGTAGCAGCGATCAGAATGTGGCCTATGATTATTTTATCTGATCTATTAACAGACTCCGGGAGTTTTTTAAATAAGGCTAGTTCCGAGGTTAAGATGCTAATGGTTCCGTTCACTTTAATAATTAGATCATGAATCATTTTCCAATAATTAATTAACTTGGGGCAGAACCACCAGATATGGGCCATATTGCCCACTCCCCCACAGTCTCTCCAACACCGGTCAGAATACATATTGTTCATGTTATGTAATCTAGATTAGGTACCAGCGATATAAGATTTTATAATGATTTTCAAAATGGTCGATGCAATACGAAATACCTTTTAGGCCTTTAAAAAAACCGAACCATTCTTCTAAGTCGTACTGGGCACCCAACTCCGTCTCCCATGACAGCATATGTTTTAATTTAATTAAGGGCTTGGCATTATGAGATAAGTAGCATAAGGATATCATACCTTTACTAGCGGGGCTGTATAAAAAAACTTTCTTTAAAGAAGTTAACTCAAGTGATTTATAGTTTTTATCTGTTTCAGGTACCTGGTATAGTTCTTTCAATTTGTCAATGATAAGCATACATTCCAGTTCACATACATTTGGCAATCCATACTTAAGCTTCAATTTTTCCAAAGAAAGAATAGCATTGCCATAAAAAAAATTGTCCAGATTAGTTATAGAGCAATCCTTCAACAATTCTATTTTTAAGGATGGTATATAATCTTTCAATAACTCAATAGGCATTGCTCTATATAACCTGGGAGACTGGTCATTTTTAAAAACAATGTCCCAGGCCTTAAGCGTAGTCTTGGTAGATAAAAATAATTTTGTAATTCCAGGTCTTTTCTTAGAATTTAACCAAGGTAATTCTGATAATCTAACCGGTCAAATTTTTGATTCCTCTATTTCCATCCATCTGGGTTTATCATCCTGGTTGTTAAAGCTCACAACCACTGCAGCGTTAGTGGCGAAATAATATTTGCGGATATCGGGGACACCGATACCACCATTCGATTTATGGTGCTGCAGGGAAGTGAGCCTCACTCGGGCAGGCTTGTTCCCCCAGATAAATTTCAACATTGTCGAGTGAACTTTATTAAAAAATGATAATGGAATGGACAGAGGAATGGTCCTAAAAAAAAAAAAATTTGGGGGAGTATCGTCATTTTAATAGATGCAACCCTACCCAGCCATGAGAGCTCCATCCCACCCCATCTCTCCATCTCTTTTTGTAAGTCTGACCATGCTTTCCTCAAGTTGTGATTGTGCATATTGACCAAATTTTTGCATAAATTAATGCCAAGATATTCCATATATTCAGTTCTCCAATCAAATAAATAAGATTTCTTAAGGGCAATGGTTTCCAAATTGTTTAAATGAAACGGGAGGGCTTGAGTTTTGAACTCATTTAATTTGTAGTACGCTATCTCACCAAATTGAGTTAAAATATCCTTGAGGTATCTCAAAGATTTTTTTAGGTTTTTGACAGCTTGTCTGCAAACAAGCCAATTTTGTGAACGGATTCTTTAATAGCAATTCCTACAATTTGTGGGGTCGTTCTAATCAGTTCTGCCAGGGGTTCTATTGCTAAGACAAACAAAATTGTTGATAAAGGGCACCCCTGTCTCATCCCGTTGATTAGAGAAAAGGTTTTGGATGTGAAGCCAGAAGCTGAGACATGGGCAGAGGGTGCGCAATATAACGCCTTAATTGCTGTGAGAAAAGGATGATGGTATGTTGAACCTGTCTAATGTTCTCCATAAATATCCCCAATGTATCCTGTCAAACGCCTTCTCTGCGTCTAGAGATAGAAGCAAAGAAGGCATTTTGTTCATATTGATGTGCTGAATCAAGTTTATGAATCTTCTAGTTCCGTCTGGCGCCTGTCTATTCTGTACAAAACCTACTTGATCCTTATTAATTAACAATGGGATTAGTTTGGTTAATCTATTAGCGAGAACTTTAGAATAAATCTTCGAATCATTATTAATCAGAGAAATGGGCCTAAAATTAGGGCATCTATCAGGAGTTTTTCCCGGCTTTGGCAAAGTGACTATTCGTGCGCACAAGGACTCCTCTGGCATCTTTCCTGTCCGGACTTATAGGAATTGAACATTTTAGTCATGTGGGGAATTAAAATTTCTGGAAAAGTTTTATAATATAAAATAGTAAATCCATCGGGACCAGGGGCTTTTCCAGATGGCATAAGTTTAATTGCCTCAGCTATCTCTACTGCTGATATTTCACATTCTAAACTTTCTAAATGTTCTGGAGACAGCCGAGGCAATGACACTCTATCTAAGAATTTATCAATTATTGTTGTAGAAGGCTGGGGGAGATCCAAATTGCATTCTAAATTATAAAGTTTACTATAATACTCTGCAAACATATCAC